TGTCAAAATACTTTAGGTTGGTACTAGCTGAGCTTAGCACACGCAAGAATGAATGATTGGAACAAAAAATGGTGTATTTTTATTTCCTTTTTAAATAAATGATGTGGGTTTAACACAATACAGATTACAGAAAGGTCCCCACATGGTTTTCGTTGCAGGCACATAAAGGAGCCTGGGTCCCTCTTTTTTTTTTTTTGACATTTCTTAACTGCGTCATTTGGAGCTGAAAAGCGGCACCGACCACAAAGTGTAATCTCCACCGACCTTTGACCTCACTAACTCACCAAAGATGTCCACAGGGTTTGCCCCCGGTGTCAAAAATAATTACATAATTGGAGCGGGAACACAGAACTCGGCCAACTAATAGCACTTCAGCGAGGAGTCCTTTTTGCTAAATAATGGGCCCTTGTGTCAGGAAGAATTACGCTTTCTCTTTTCCAGACAGATGTGTCTCTCTTTTGATGTTGGAAACGGTGTGGAGCTGCCCAGGCTTCACCAGGCTGGAAAGTCCAGAGCGTTCCACAATAAACAGAGACCTATTTAGATCAATCCCAGTCTCCTCAGACTGCTGCAACTCAGTCAGAACCTTTTACCCACTTCCAGACCGGTTCTGTTTGAACATTCAGTGTCATAATACATTCCTCCAAGTCATGAAAAACAACTCTATAAGCATGTATTAAATGGTTTATTACAAAATAATGTCAGCGCATGTTCGTGTTCACTAACTTATTCGTTCATTAGACGACCTGATATACAAAGCGATAGTATGACAGTATAGTGAAAGCCCTTTTGTACAGCGTTTGCCCCTCAATAAAACTAGATTGACCCATAAAGCGCTATCTTATGATAAATCCACACATGCGGTTAATCCAAATGACCTTGTGTGCGTTCTGTGACTCGACCTCAGGGTGTTATTCCCTATTCAGGGTGAACGCCGGTCTAGAATGAAACGGTGAACACAGACTTCTATCCAGCATGAGTTTCCCTCCAAATGTTATTTCCATTTCAATGCACTTCAATGGAGAAAGAAAGCAGTTACATGAAATCAGCATGTAAAACAGAAGCTTCTTTTATTATACCTACTAATGCAGTAAAAGCACCAATAATAAATGTGATTTAATGGTGCAGCGGTGATGTGTGTTGGGCTCCGGTTGCAAACATAATTCTCTGACTTGTAACAGCAGTCACGTATGAAAGGGCAAACCATGACCGCGCACACATTTATCACCCCGTGTTGAACACGAGGAGCGTGCACCAGAGCTCTGTTGTTTAGAATGAATGCCGGTGAAGATAATATCTGTATTAAACATCATACGGTCACACGATTTTGAATCCAGAGCCTTGATACTTTCAGCTGTTTAAACACAACCACTCCGGCCATTTCCTGTGTTCATTAATGTCAAAAGATCCACGATAAGCCCGTTTTTTAATTCCCTCACGTGTCCTTTTGATTTGCAGCGTTATTTCACTTTAGAGGATTAACAATCTCTTCATCTCCACCACATGAAATCACGTTACAGAACAAATCATCTAGGTCCTTTCTTTTGACAGACAAAAATATTCCAATTAAGATGGAACTTATAACGAGAGTGGTTTTCCATAAATAGTGTACAATAAATATCACGCTCTGCTTGTCTTCTGCAGTGCACGGCATACAACAAATTGCACGAACTAAAAAAAGGGGAATTGCGATATTCTTAATGATTCGAACTTGAAACAAAAAGCGCCAATATAAGATTATACAGTTAGAATCAACACATCTGTGTGTCATGCAATTTAACATCGCAGTGACTCTTCTAACCACAAAAGGACGACAGTACTGAGTTTGGTAAACTCAAATAGTTCGTGAGGGGGGGCATGATGGAGAGGGGGTGGAGATGCCAGTCTCGGGTGCAGCCGGGACAGGTGTCTCCGTGTGACACCGCGGAGTAATCTCTTGGTAATCCTCGCCCGAGCTCAGTGCTCAGTTTCTTAATCCCAACTCTAATAAACAAGTTAAAGCCCAAGTTAATGTGTCCAGAGGAAGCAAAAAAAAAAAGTGTGCAGCGAGCGTCTTGTCTGCCGTGGGAGAGTTATTGTGTGATCACTGGAAGCCCCCCTCTCAGCGCTGCGAGGTAGCCTTGCAGATCCGTCAGTTCAACATTGTTCTTTCCCTTTTCTGTCTTCATGGGGTTCCAGTTAAGAAAGAGGCTCCCGTGACACACAGGCTTCATGTGGTTTTGGGTTGGACATTTCACAATCCGTTTTCTAGGAGGGAAGAGAATCATGGAATTTGTGTTGTTCAGTCGCATGTTGACAAGACGTCAGGCGCTTCCCCTGTGTGGGTTCACGTTCTGCGGCCTCCGAGTGAAAGTCCTTTTGTTCGCTCGTCCATTGATGGAATGTGGAAATAGAGCGCCACTGTTCATGCACATTGTACACTGGTCCCGTAGCCGCTGTGATCCTATTTAATTAATTCATGCCGTTACGTGTTAGAGAATGGTTCTTTTATTGTGGAGGAATCAGACTTTACTCCTCCTCCTTTTTTCTTTTTCTTTTTTTTGCTGGCCTGGTGCCAGGATTTAAGTGGCAAAGAAAACAAAATGAAAAAAGCCCATCAGGGAAAAAAGGTTTCACCCAGTTTGTAAATGTAAGACATGGCCGTCTTAAATCTGACTGCTGGAGTGTTGGATGGGAGTCTTCCAATGTTTTTAGTTAGTTCAGAGGCTCTCATACAAACCGTGTCTTTTTATTGTGTCTCTGGCCGGAGCGCCACCAGCTAGTCGATTAACCAAATAGTTGATGGATGGAAAATAAATGATCGAACATTTCAGTCCCCTTTTTTTTTTCAAAGCCAAAAATGGCTCTGGGCTTCTTTCTATTTCATCATAGTAAACTGAGTACAAGCCTTTTCAGTTCCCTTCTGTGCTATAGGGCAACCGCTTCGCTCCAAGTTTCCATCGTATCAGCTGTTGCATTAACAAACATTGCAGCAGGAAGCACAAAGGGGCCCATTCACAACGCCAAGGAAGTCTCTCTGGTATTTGACTGTTGGTTGGACGAAACAGGACGGCTTTTTAGCTAATAGTACAAGTAGCAGAAAATACTACAACTAGTACACTATAAAAAGAAAATGAATGATACGAGCTTCCGCTTCAGAGGTCACTTCCAGGCCGCAGTCGAGTCAATTTAGAGGAGAACCCCGCGTGCACCTTTTCCCTCCCGCCGGCTGTCACTCAGAAGGCGGGCTCTGCTGATTCACCGCGGCCGGCCACGTCGTGCACGAGGACGCCGACGAGCGGCCGCTTCGCCGCGGTGACGCTCGCCGCACACATTCACTCGCTCGTCCTCGATCGGCGCTCCTCTCTGTGAACAGTGAATAAGTCTTGAGCTAATATTAAATTTCATCGGGGGACTAATGTTTGGTTTTTCCAAAGCACTTTATTCCTATTCCTCCTGCAGCGATTGATCTGAAACGTGTCACGCGGTGTGATTCATGGCCGTGTTGCTCTCAAATGATTTGATGCATAGGTCACGATCAATCAGTCGCGAATAATTGTTCATTCAAATTGCTTTTTAAAAATGTGTTCAACGTGAGAAATGATTAGCAATTCATGTTTTTACATCTTGAATGGATAAGTATGATTTTTAAATGCCAATCTTTCTCCATCTTCCTGACACTTTATGCTTTTATTCGTTATGTTGTCATTGCTTTGACAAGCTTTTGCTGCTGTTGCAAAGTGGGACTCCGTCTTGCATGATTGCAATGCTTACGAAACCCCCAAACATTGGATGAGTGCCCAGCAAAAAACAGAAAACGCACACACGCCTAAGTGTTGTCTAAATGTAGCAACGGAGCACTCTCGTGATGTTTGTGTGCGCCTCAATGCAGCTTCAGGCCAAGTGCCGTTAAGGCTAAATCTAGTTTCACCGGTTTTTCATTAATGGACTAACCAAAGCAGGATTCATCATCTGGGAACCATGAATGAAAGTGTTTTTTTTTAATGTAAAGTAAATGTACAGATTCATTTCTTGGGGTCCATTCAATGTTTGACCTGCCTGTGGCGCTAGAGGAACCATCAGGGAATCAGCAGTCGTTGGGATTCATCTTCTGGGGACCATGACACTTCCATCCGATATATGCCGAGATGAATAGTTTGTGTTCCCCACATTCCGCTCAGTTAGGAACACTAAGCGGATTAAATTATTTAAGGGGCGCACAGGCTCATGATCCAATGTGTCAATTATTATTTTGTCGTCTTAGTCTAATTGGATCCAGCGTTGGCGGCGTATCCCCGAGCACCCGGTGCTTTAGACCCAATTAATGAATGTGTGGCGTTGGCCGCGCTTCAATGCCGACCTGCTCTAAACCCGGTGTCACTGCGGCCCTTAAATCACCATCGGTCTCTCCCTCGCCCCCTCCCTCCCTCACCTCGCCCTCTCTTTTTCCGCCCACGCACTTCCTTCCTCCCGTTATCTCCGTTGCGCCCGTCCTCTGCCTCTCTGCCCTTTTTCGTTTTTCGTTTCCTGCGTCGGCCTCTCTGTCTGTTCATTGCTGTCAGTGTGTCAGAACAGGTGGAATCAATTACTGACACCCCCCCCCCACAACCAGCTCCTTAGTTTGGGGAATTAATCAGTGATTGGCCTGTGAGAAGATTTGGTGTCACTGGTCTCGCTTGGCGGCTCGCAAAGGGAGGAGGAGGAGGAGGAGGGGGTGTTTGACCAATCCTGCATCGCTAATTCTCTCCTTCCACAATGGCAGTCAAAGCAGTCAACATACCTCCTCCCCTCCCCCACACCACCTCCCCCATCACCTCCCCTACCTCTTAACCACCTCTAACGTGGATGAAAGACACAGAAGTGCTGCATCCTTCCGAGTAGGATTGCTTTGGAGGACCAGTGGCGTACCACCATGGCGTCCTCGCGGGCGCCTTTGTTGTGCCCCCACCCCACTGACGAGCCATGTACCTCTTGGGTTTGTCTAGTGGTCTAAAGCGTCTCATGTTTCTCTCTCTTCACAGATGGAATCTCCTGTCTCCACGCCAGCTCCTCCCCCTCTCCACCTCCTGGCCACAGTGGGCAACAGTGAGATCTCCTCGCCGTGTGAGCAGATAATGGTGCGCACGCGCTCGGTGGCCGTCAACACGTCGGACGTGGCCCTGGCCACCGAGCCCGAGTGCTTGGGGCCCTGCGAGCCCGGCACCAGCGTCAACCTGGAAGGCATCGTGTGGCAGGAAACTGAAGACGGTAAGTGGAGCGCTTCAACGCGCCGCTTAGTGGGACGAATGAGCCTTGGATGGTAAAGGGTGTGTGTGGGGGGTTAATGGCTGCATACATGTGGGATGTTTTTCTATTTGCACAGCCAGTGTGGTTGCACGAACACGTCAAAGAGCTATTGGTTTTTTCAAAAGGCTTCACTGAAGCCTCCGTCGTTTAAAGGAATAATCATCCCGCTGTCATTATCGTACATATTTCGCCTGCTCAGACGTAATTGGATCCGCCCTGACCGCCTCAGGAGCTGGTGGTGGTACTAATACGGGCTTTAACAGCCCACACGCTGCACAGCATTGCCAACAAGAATAGTAGTTGGCAGGCAGTTCTTAGGTGGCCTTGGTTTTTTATTTTTGCAGCGGAGCACGCAGACGGGAGTTAGCTGCACAGAGCGATCCGCTCTCAGCAACAACATGCCTCATAACACAAAGCACTTATTTCTGCAAGGCTGCCATTTGGGATGGCAGTTGGCTCTCTTCCTGCAGTGCGGTCCGAGTGAAATCTCAGACTCACTCAGTCCCGCCCCACCCCCGCTCCCCTTGATCCAAGCCACATTCGTCTCATTTCATTTTAAGATGTATCGCCAGCACTATCAGGTTCTGCTAGGTGTGAGAGGCTTCCCTCCCTCCCTCCCTCCCCTCTCTGTCTCTTTCTCTCTCTTGGTCGTGCATGTGAAATAATAAAAACACAGAATCTTCAAAGCAGCTCTGGCGCGGTCGTCTCTGCAGAGTACAAATCGCCCACACAACCACAGTGCTGCTGGTTGGTTCACTTGGAGGAACCGAACAGAAAAAAAGGGTCCCTGCCTCATAAAACATTCCCAAAGCACAGTCCCTGCTATTGAGACCCCCCCCCCCGGCCCCCCCGGCACCCCCTCTACTCCCCTTTTTTTGTGATTTTTGCTTCCCTGTCCTCCTCTCCATCGCAACCCTTTTTTTTTCTGTTACCAAGCATCCAGCCGGTCGCCCCTTGACTCCGTTTCCAGGCAAACTGGGAGAAGATGAGTGCAAGGCAGGGAGGAGGGGGGAGGGGGGGGGGGGGGTTGGGGCAGATAGACAAGGCTACTTCTGTTGGTGACACAAACATGGCTTAGTGCCAACACCAGTACTATGTTTGTCTCCCTCATTCTCTGCCTCCCACTGAGTGATTGACCCTCCCCCTCCCCCACCGGCTCCCCTCCTCCCCCCCTCCCCCATCCAAGTCTGTCCTCTTGCCTGCACTTGCTCTCTCAAAGCTGCTGTTTTGGCAGAAAGAGGTAGTGGTTTGGCCTGACAGGCTGTGTTTTCTTCTGATTCTACTCTATCCGCCCCGGTTGGGGGGGGGGCTGGTGGGAGCTTTTGAGTGGTTTTAAAGTGGTATGAGGGCGGGGGGGGGGTCGCTCTGCAGGTGTGGCGCGCAGGTTGTTACGGCAATCAGAGTGTTTCCAGCAGCTAACACACTTACCTTTTATATAAAGTTTCTATTTTATAACATCAGGTCTTCACCGTCAGGCTAGAAGATCAAAGCGACATAGTGGACAGCTGGAACTCTGAAGTTGCGTTCCCATGTGGCTCTTTGTTTGAGGAGCATCGCTGACTCGATCAGTTCTTCATAAATCTGCTGGAGCTGAAACGTGTGCCACGGACTCCTCGGCACAAATGTCAGTTTTTTTTGTCCAAAGTGTAGTCGACAGCCCACCGGCTTCCTTTTTAAATGAAAGGGGCCCAGATGCTGCTGACTCTCCCAAACTGCACCGCCTTTCTGCCCCCCCCCCCCCTCCCCACCTCCCCTAAGAGACCCATGAAAGCAGACTCCTGTCATTGTGGTGCAACCGAGCAAATGAGAACCAAATGAGGAAATCAAGCACATCCAGGCTGAAGAGCAACAAACAGCCCCCACCTCCGAAGGAACAGCCGAGGCATCCTGATTAGCAGCCCCCTCCCCCACAACCCCTCCGCTCCCACCAACCCCACTTCCCTGCGTGGCAAGTCTCGCCCGTTTAGCATGCCGACCAACAGCTGCCTCATCACCTCCGCCTCCCCTCGGCCTTGTGGGAGTAAATGAACAACCGGCTCCCAGTAATTGTCTGCGCCTCACCCCGACTCGCCGAGCGCCAGAGACGGAAACGAACGAGGAGGGAGCGCGGCGACGCCTCGCGAAAATGCAATCACGGGAGCCGCAGCCTCCAAGTCAGAGCCGACAAGAATCGGGTCTGGTGAGGGCGGCTGTGTGTTTGTGATTCCGGCGCCCGGTGGGGGGGGGCGGGCGCAGTGGTGAATCCAGGTATTGGCCGGACTGAACCGAGGATCGCAAAACCCACCCACGGAGCTTCATAGTCACAATTGCGTTCTGCCTCGTGTCGGCCGATGAGTGGAGGCGAGGGAAAGTGAATCTGTGGCATTGGAGTCGGTCCGGGGTCGGGGGGGTATTTTAAGGTCCCCGTCATCGACACAAATCCCCTCGCTGCAGACGAGGCAGTGGCAGCTCCCGGCAGAGCGGCGTGCCGACCCCTCCCAGGCTTAGCGTGCTGATACCTCCAAATGTCACCCCTGAAACGCCGGGGGAAGTTTATTGCTCTTGAAACGCATCCCAGAAACGCCTCGGCTCCTGCTCCGGGGGCAGAGGGAGCACAGGGCCCCTCCACCCACTCCCCCCAGCCCCCTCCTTCCCCTTTGGCCTGACACTGAAGCTCCATGCCAGCGAAGCCACCCCCACCTGCCTCGCACACCCCCGACCCTCCACTACACAGCAGGCTACTCCCTAAAGCAGCTTCTTAAGCTCCCTAATAGAAAAATAAAACGGGCCGCTCGGGATGAATGTTTGTCTGGTGGATTATTTATCCGGCACACATTACATCGTTGTAGCGCGGCGAGCTTAGGGGGAGCGGTCTGGCATCTGGTTGGGACAGAGGTCCGCCTGAAACGGATATTCCTGTATAAACATCGGAGGGACTTTTCCTGTTGAATGCCGGGTTTCTTCAGCCCAGTAGTGGAGCCGAGGAGGGGGAAGAGTGTGTGAAAGCAGCACTTGGCTCCGTGGCTCACTCGCCGGCTATGCCTCCTTGCTCTTTTGAAGACCACCTGTCAGTGGCCTCATTGAAATGTTTTCACAAAGGGCGAGGAGGAGGGGGGGGGGGCGCTCCGCGTGATCTCGCCATAGAAAACTGTCCTTGAAATAAGAGGCGAAGCGTTTCCCAGGGTGCCTTGTTGGCCCGTCTGCGCTGCCAATGAGCGAGGAGCTGCCCGGGGTTTGGTGACAAAGTCGCGGACAACTTGCATTCCTTGCGGGAGGAGACCGCTCTTGTTAGTCACAAATTTAGTGTCACCAAGATGGCGCCTCGGCGAAAACCCCCCCCCCCCGCATCTCTGAAGAGAGGCTCGGTCCCCATTCCCGTTGGCCGACGGCTGCATTTTTTTTTTCAGAGCCCTTAAATGGTTGAGACTTAAATCATGTGCCCTCGAGGAACCGTAGTGTTTGCCAGTGGTTTGCCGTAAGATATCATGTTTGCGACGCACACGTCAACGAGGGCCTGAGTGATGTGCCGTTGGCAGACCCGTCTCTTAATCCGAGCACCATCTCCTATTAGGAAAAAACCCAGAGGGTTTGTTTTGACAGAGGGGATTATGGATTTTCCCCACATGGCATTTAGGGAAACTGCTCTATGGCTCTAACTACAAATCGCTTGCAGTAATAAATGTAAAGTCGGTAGAGATGTTCCGTGCGTGGCTGCTGTTTTGTGGTCTTCATAAGATAGACAGTAAGAGTAAACATGTTCTCATTTATTTTCTTTTTTGAGGGGGGGGGATTGCTGCATGAGGCTGATATGCTGCTTTGATGCGGACAGCATCCTAATGCTCCCGTCCTTTGCCTCTCGGGGGTTTGAGGGATTTGACCTTCTCGCAGGCCGTTGTTCTTGTCAGTGAGAGTGACTTTGAACTTTTACTTCTTATGAACCGTAATGCATCCTGAACTTCAATGCCGTAAAATTCAAAATAAAAGCGTCTGTGGTAAACTTAACTAAACAGTACCAGTCTACCAATCTTTGTAATACTTTCACTTTTAAATTAATTTCAAAGTCATATATTTAGGTCAAAAAAATCCCAACCGTAGTTTCACTTTCCCGCTGTAACTGCGTGTGGGAGCAGCAGGCCGAACACACGCCGACGGAAGGTCGAAGACGCAATTTGTCGTTTTTTTCTGGTGAGGCGGTTTTAGCAGTTGTTTAAAACGGCGGATTCACGACGGGGAATTACAAAGCAGAAAGTGAGGAAATACCAATTACCTGCGGACAAACAGCCACGGAGGCCTGCCAGCGGCGGTTGCTATGGCAACAGAATGTTCCGTCGAAATTCATTTCCAACGAGCCAAAAAGGGCAAGTCATTTGGCAATTTTGAGAAGCTGGAATCGGCATTGGCGGAGCTCGGCGCGTTTCTGCCAGGAAAAAAAAAAAAAACCTTAAAAAGGTACAATGCAATCAAAATGTCCAATCTCATTCATCTTAATCCTGTTTACCTCAACTAATCAGCTGATCCACCAGTCATTGCGTCCCACTGCGGGCAGCTTCCCCAGTGTGCTGGACGGGACTCTCGCAGATCCATGTGTGCCTCGCATTCAAGATAAGGTCAGTTTCAGGACTTTGTATTCTGACTCTGACAGAAGCGGACGTGCTCGGCTTCACTTAATGGTCCCCGCGTGCAGCGGCACTCTTAAAATGGACCGTTAGAAACATGCCCAGACAGTCGAATGCCCAAACGCTTCATTTATCGACGTTGGAGTTATTGCCCGTGGCAGCACCCAGCTATCTTTTATCTCCTCTTCGTAATAAACACTGACATCCTCCCCCCGACTCCCCCCCTCATTGTTCTCACTTTCTTGTCTACATGCGACTTTGATACGAAGCGGGGCTTTTAGTGCAGAGAAAACCGGCATAAGAAAAGCTCTGTTTCCTAGGAGGACACAGAGGAGAAATCTGTCAATAATTACTGACTGTGTACAAGACGTCATAATTGCATGTGCTGGTAATTGTTCACTTAAGGGGTTATCAGGGCTCTCCTTGTTTCAATCAGGCACATTTAATGACGCCTTTAATCTGATGATGCCCGAGAACAGTCGCGTACTGTCACACCCCATCATTACACGGGAGTGGGCGCCCATTTTGAAAGATAACAAAGGCCTTTTGACGAGGTCAGTCAGTGAAAGTGCCATTAACCCCGGTGGGTTCCTGTTGAGTTGAAGCAGAGCAGAGGTCAGCCGGTGACCCCCAGGCCCAATATTCTGGCCCCAAATGCAACCTAATGAAATGTGTTAAGAATGGTGTGTGTGAGGGGGGTGGGGGTACAGGGGGCAGTCAACCATGCAGCAGCAGGCAAACCGTAATTTGTCCCCAAACATTGCCCTCTTGTTGGAGTAATCCCGCACAAGCAAGCGGCGGAGTTGCGCGCGCGAGGAGGCCGGCCGTTTGTTGTTCGGCGGCATTGGAAGGAAACGAGTGGTGAACATTACAGGCGGATCCCTTCACCCAGAAAAATGAACGCAGTGAGATCGGGGCTCGCATGGACCCGTAACCTCCCCGTGTGCAAACAAGTGCTCTCTGATGGAAAGTCCGTTCAGTTCCCCGTGCAATTTGCTTTCTGCCACAGGGAATTTGACTTGGGTTCGTTTGTCGAGAGCTTTCCGCGTTGAGACAGACTTGGCGTTTACATCTTTGTCCCAACGGCTCGGAAATTCCTCCTCAGATGAAAGTGAGCGGATACGTTTAAATGGCTGTCAGCTTCCAGCATGGAAGAGTTCATCTTAATCTTGTGCATTCCCCTTGAGCACGTTTTTATATTGCCAAGATATCCTATGAATTCACAGCCGCCAGTCTGAGGAGTCCATTGGAAACAATAGGGCGTTAATTATGTGGAGTGTTTATGGGTAACTAGAAGTGGTATAAATAACACTATTAACGGGCTCCAGGGCTGAAAGCTTCCCATTTTTCACCACTACCTCCTGTTCCCTTTTCCAACCATGTTCAATCAATATATCCATCGTTTGATAAGTCGCATTTAAGAAGTGAAGGATTAATACCCTTGGTAATTAATAAAAAGATCATTAATACAGTGAGAAAATACTATGTTAGCGTGCAAAGTGGATCTCTTTAGTTAGTAGAAATGAGTATTGCAAAAGTAATGTAAAGCACTTCTGCTATTTAGAATCAACCTCAGGCTTTTCAGAGAGGCTTTGAAAATAAACGCCAGCAGTAAAAGCCCTTTAAACTCTTCCCTGGAATGAGGAATATGAACCTTTTTTAGTTTCAGCGAGCTACACAGCATGTGAACTCTGAAAGCATGTAACCGCATACGTTTAGCTCGCCTTCTTAAAACAACTACTCTCCGTTCCTTTTTTTTTTTTTGCTCCATTTCCATTGGAGCCGAGATGCGTCTGCATTTCTTTGAATGTCCTTGAGGTGTCCCACATAACGATCCTGGAACCACTTTATTAGCATTCACGGCAAGTATCGCAGAGGCGGAGATCTGAGGTGACCCAGAAGCCAAGGACCACTCTGGAAGGATTACAGAGCACATTGGCTTCACCATGGGAGGGGGGGGGGGGGGCCCGAAGGACACCACCACTCTAATGAAAATAAAACCGTCTACAAAAGGCCCAGTTTCTAGTGAAGAATTGTATGAAGTTGATATTGAGCTATCGGCCGATTACATTTAGTCTTTCAGTTTTTCTTTGTAGAACATGATTTTGTGATGGTAGATGTGGTGCCCTACCTGTGTGTCGGTACATATCCGATACGCCTGAACAATTGAGATGTTTTTATGCTCCTTTTGCCACTGACGGCACAACAAAAGGCTGCAGCCTCCATGTCGGAAAAGTGAATCCAAAGGCGTAGTTGTTTTCTGCAAGGAGTGACTGAAAGAAGTCTGATTCAATAGAAGTCCTCTTGAGAGTGTGGTTCTACTTCTGAATGGATTTATTACCTCAGTCAACATTGTAAACATGGGTTTATGGTCTCGATGGCTAGTTTCATGTCTTCTCCAATATGACGTGACGTCCTTTCAGTGAGTTATAGTCCATTGAGAGTAAAACGTGTCGTAAAGCAGGATGTGCTTTAGGGCTGAGCTTCTTGTGATTGTCGTCGTCTGTGTTCTTCTCTTACAACTTAAACGCTTTTACAGTTCAGTGTGTTTTCAGTTCCTGAATCTTAATTCTGTTTTGGTTTCCCTAAGATTGGCCTTCAGAGTTTGGTTGTGATTACTTCTCTGATTCCGTGATTGCGTCTCTCCTGGCTGCAAAAAGCCAAACTCGAGAATTCAATTTGGTGCCGTTACCGTGACTACATCGTCGTCTCGCTCATTAAGTATTTCTTGCTAATTCATCAAGGACTTATTCAGGGTGTTTTTCTCACTACATCTTCTCATCACTTTGCAACCCCCCGCTGTGGGCCACTCTTCTAGCAGCAGGCCCCTAAATGAGTTTTTCTCGAGGAAAACCCGGGGAACTTCCTTGGGAGAACCCGATTAGAGAGGCTCATGTTCCGGCGGGACAGTGATCCGTATCAAGCAACCAAATACTTCAGCAGATTTCTTCAGAACAAGATAGTGAAAGTCCTTGATATCTGAACCAAAGGTTAGAGCGGAGTCATGTCAAAGAAAACCTTTGCAGGGGCCTCAAGATGGCTTTTGAGATTCTCCTCATTCGGCTCCATTGAGCACGAGTAAATCTGTGAGTGGATAACCGGAAAGCCTGCTAGAAAAATGCTAGGGTGGTTTAAATGTTTAAAAAAAAAGCCAAACAACAATCTTGAATCTAAACATTGAACTGTTTGGTAAAGAACGTTTTTTGTACTTGTAGTAATGCTAACAGAACCACCCAGTGACACAGCGCCACGGAAGCAGGCAGGCAGTCTGATGCTAATTTAAAATCATTAAAGACCTTAAAGCCCTCATGGTAGCGTTTCTAAACCCCCCCCACCCCCCCATGCCGGAGAAAGCGGGGCGGACTACATCCTTCGCATCATGAAAGACTACTCTTTCATTTGCCCTGCCGTGATTTACATCCTGCCACAGCCAGCTGCCAGAGCCATTTTGTGTTGGAGTGTTTGGAGAGCTTAGGGTGGGGGGTGGGGTGGGTGGGGGCGGGCGGCTGTTGAAGGCGTTTTCAGAAAAGCCCTGTGTTCTTCTAATGTGACAGAAAGCTGAGCTCGAGAAGCTCTCCTCCAGCACATTGGCAGTTGGATGCCGCCCTGACGCCGGCGCTCGTTGGCTGTCAGGAGTGAACGAGTCGTGTGGCCAAGTGTCGGCAGGTTCCTGTAAAGGGGGGAGGGAGAAAAATGAGGTCTTGACTGCGAGTTGTGTGTAAGAGCGGGTACGGAATCGTAAGCGCCGGATGGCTGTACCGCTGAGAGGAGGAAATGAGGGTGAGGGGAAAATGGGGTGAGCGAAGAGAGGCTTCCCGAGCCAACCGAACGCTCCGAGGGACGCGAGCTGCCAGCCAGCATTCCTGTGCCATTAGATAAGTCGGCTCACTGCAGCCTCCAGTTTCTCTGCAGTGCTGAGGTGGCAAGCGGAGGTCACCACCGGGGGAGGGGGAACACATTCTGAATGTTTCTGTGCACGACCGTCCACGCCTAATCCTCTCGAGTTGTTTCGCCGGTGATTTAGTTTATAGTTCTGCCTCTCGCTTTCTGCTCTGAGGTTGTTGGATGTGTAGGAATGTAAAGTGCGGGGTTTCACTTATGCAATCTAGTACAAATATGCACACTTGTGACATTGACACGCGGATGAAGAGTGTTTGGTCTGTGGGGGCGACACCTGCACGGAGAGTCGTGTGATCTTCAGGAACTAATTTGAGATTTCAAATGCGAGGTCGGTATCCCACTCGAGCGGTACCAAATTCACACCGGCCAAATGGCAACACGGGAGCTTCTAAGTGTGACGGATTGCAGCAATACCAGTGAAGTCAAGGGGCCGCTCTCACACGCGGTTACAGTCCGTCAAACCAAACCATTCACGTTGAATTGGTTTAACCCGGGAGCTCGTTTGTTTGTTTGTTTTCATAGAAGCCGGAGTAGTAGATCCGTATTCTCCCTAAGGCATGCGTTTCTGGGGCTGCAAAGTGAGATGGAGGACGGCAAAAAAAATATTTGCCTTCAGATAATTCTCCTTTGGGGGGGAAAACTCCTCCTCTGTGAAGGGGGCCTGATTTAAATGGAAAGGGTGTTGGGCGAATATTCCCCGGTAACCTCGGTGTGATCGTGAGACCTTCCACCGGCCTCTCATTCAGGTTACAGAGGACTGCAGTCGAGTGTGTCCAAAGTCGTTTAGGAGATATCAGTCAGTCTAACCCCCGCGGCTCTGGTGTGTGAAGAAGATTAAAAAAAAGGATCTTCGACTTTCCTAGCTGTGTGTTTGTGACGCCCTTTAGCAAAGATCAACGCTGTCATGCAGCAGCCACAGCGCACATCTTACTCACATGGAAAATGTTCCTATTTGTTTTGCTATTGTCAGAGTTAACACAAAACAAATGGCCTCTTTGTTTCCTCCTCTCGCAGGCATGCTGGTGGTCAATGTCACATGGAGAAACAAGACTTATGTGGGCACCTTGTTGGACTGCACACGACATGACTGGGCTCCCCCCAGGTAAGGAGCATCCGCCCGTTTTGGTTCTTATTCCCATTACTGCTTTCTCCTGTGGAAGTATCTAAATATGCATCATCTAATCCGGCGCTCGGTAATGCTGTATCACTTGTGTGGCGTTGTTCAAACAAAAGCTGCAATAACCGGTTTCACAAGGTATTTGCACTTTACAAAGAACTCACTGTCACACACGGCGGTTGTAAATGTCACGGTAGAGACGGGAAACAAATTCTGTATTTCCATCCATCATTGATGCAGTTTCTCTATTCGGGCTGCACGCGGTCTCTCAACCTTTTCATATTCTCTGGTATATGAATCTACTGTAGTTCCATCGGCTCAAGAATATACACCGCTTAATGCACAAACTTGCTTGTGTGCAGCTGGACCTTTTCAAGCACATGTTAGCCTCTGTCTGGGGGGGGTGGGGGGAGACAGGATTCATTGGCAGCCGGCTGGGGTCCCGGGAGGAAGTGGTGGAAATAGAAAGCTACTCTAACCAGCCAGATTGCAGAATCCAATTATTGGACTAATAGCTTTTCCTCAACACTGTATATTACATTCTCTATCACCAAGGCTGCAATTTCTTAGATCTGTGTTTTGTGGGCAGTAGCTGAAGTTGTTTGTAATTTCCAGGTATCTGCCTTTTGTAACGCAAAATACTGTGGAGGTTGTGTAAAATACATCGCCAAGCACTTGCTTTAATTTAGGGCAGCTGCACTACATCTAAATGTAAATATAAATCTATATTTGAACTGCATGGTTAAGTGCAAAAAAAAGAAGTCCCGATTAAAGCCTTGCTAATGGAAAACAAGGTGAGACGGCATCACACTAATGTATCACAGTATATCACAATAATGTCCAGTAAGTGAGGTTTGCTTGGATGTTTTTGGACCAGGGCAGTTTGCAGAACGACTGCATTAGGGAAACGCCATGAATAATTCAGAAAGCTTTCAGCAGACTGAATATAAACTTGCACTTGTAATGAGTCAAAATTCCTCCACCACCGCCAGACTCTGGATGTCTTCACGTCCCCTGCTGGGGTAGAAATGGTTTGGAGAGACTTGAACAGGGATCTGTGAGTCGTACCAGCCTAGTGCCTCTCTTTGACACAGATTCCTAACCTTGACTGCTGTGCAGATAGATAATTGCATCACTGCTACGCAGAGATAAGGCCAAACTGCTATTCTAAGTATCTGAGTGACTCGTAGTTTTGACTACAAAGCAGCCGGACTGCTTACTGCTGTCTTTTCAAATTATGTTTACATGCCTTTGCGTTGTCATGTGGCTTTGTACAAGGTACTTACTCACTTACAGTGCACAAAAATAGCTGTTTGAGAGGGAGGTCACAGAGCAATGGTACATATTTTCCTTTCATTGCCATTGTTAGGGCTTCTGCAGTAATGACATCATTGCTATTACTATTTACACTTCCTTAAGTTCCTTAGAGACAACGTGTAATTGTGGCTTTTAATTTGGCCTACCAGTGCAGTAAATGCAATTGTATGGGAGACTCAAATATTCCAAACTGTCTAAAGGTAAAGCAGAGAAGTAGCATCTTGTACAAACGTCTTGAGTCATGATGAATTATATTTTCAAACGTATAGGTTAAAATGCTTTTAGAGACCATCACTGTTTCCCAAAAAACTTTTCCCCCTGACCTGAATAATCAAGTATTTTGGTTACCTAGCCAATAACGGGGGTAACTTTGGTTTACACATGACTTATCATCTTGATTACACAACGTGTAGTCTCCATTACACATAAAACAACTGGCCGCACCATTGGCGATGTAGCAGTGTGATCTTGTAGGAGTTAAAGAAATCCAAGATCTATAGTTTCCCAAAAAAAGCCTAATTTATTGACCGTAATTTAATCAAATAGTATTAGATGATATGGTTTTATTTGCCGTTTGTTCAGCTGCCACAGAAATGTTGATTAAAGGGATGAGCAGCTCCTTTTCCATTGTTTGAGTTGCAAATCAACAATCACTAATTCTTATACCTGATTTTTGCCACTACTTCAGATTTTGTGAATCCCCAACAAGCGATCTTGAAATGAGGAATGGCCGTGGTCGAGGCAAGCGGATGAGACCGAACAGCAACACCCCCATCAACGAAAACAGCAACTCATCGGACAACAAGGGCACCACCAACAACAAGACGCGAGCTGCCTCTAATAGTAAGGGCCGCAGGGGCAGCCAGACGCCGTCAGAGCGCCGCACGCCGCCCAACAGCAACACGGAGGACATCAAGGCCAGTCCCTCCTCAGCTGGGAAACGTAAGGCCAAACCTGCCTCGGACATGGAGCCCAATTCTAGCTCAGAGGACACCAAAGGCAACAAACGAATGCGGACAAACTCCAACAGTGGTCTGGGGCCGACCGGTCTCCCTCTTCCTTCCATCAAGACAGAGCCCCTTCCACCCCCCCTCGATCGCAGCTGCCCCTCCCCAGTTCTTATTGACTGCCCGCACCCGAACTGCAACAAGAAGTACAAGCACATCAATGGTCTCAAGTACCACCAAGCCCGTGCCCACAATGACGATGACATCAAGTTGGAAGTAGATGGAGACAGCGAGTATGGAGAGGACTCGACTCTCCACCCTGAACCAGGAAACTGCAACGGAGCGTCTATCTCTCAGAAAGGATGCTTGTCTCCTGCACGTTCGGTTACTCCGAAAGGAAGGAACTTTGATGCTCAAAGTCCTTCGCCGTCTCCTGGCAAGTTTGGGTCAAAGCAGAGTAAAAAGAAGCCGTCTGAGACGGATCCAGAATTGGGAGGTACCCCGGCGGACGGGTGTGAGGATGGGCCGTGCCTCACTGATGAGGCCAGTAACGATGGTATAGATGATAAGAGAGGATCAGACAAGTCTAAAAAGGCCGCCACGAAAGCCGATAAAATGGCGCAGAAAAACATGAAGTCGCCACGGCCAGTTGTCCCTGGCTCAACATCGTCCCAGCAGATGTACCCTTTTCCTCCAGGAAACCCCAATTCTTCCCCAGGGCTTACCCCAATAATACAAGGGATTCCCAAGAGTCCCCAAATGAAGGGTGCACAGCCTAAACCCTCTGCCATTGGAGATCCTCCCTCAAGTAGCTCCAAAGACAAGAAGAAGAAGGACAAGAAGAAAAAGGATGGTGCGAAGGAGGGCGACAGCCCCAAGCCGCCGGGAAAGGGTGGCAAACTGGAGGAAGGGAAGCTTCCGTACCCCGAAATGTCCGATCCAGGAAACAAGGGAGAAGGTCTCCTCAATGGTTCCTCAGATCCACACCAGAGTCGCTTGGCCAGTATCAAGGCTGAGGCTGACAAGATATACAGCTTTTCTGACAATGCCCCAAGCCCTTCCATTGGGGTAGCCAGTCGGATAGACGGCAGCGGGATGCCACAGCCTCTCACGCCACTTCACGCAGCAAACCAGAATGGCGCCGACAACTCATCAGTGAAAACCAATAGCCCAGCATATTCAGACATTTCAGATGCTGGTGAGGATGGAGAAGGAAAACCTGATGGTGGCAAAGTCAGGACGGAGGACCAAGTTGTCAGGGAAAGTGTCAAAAAGGCCCTCTTTCCAAACCCGACACCAAGCAAAGAGTCCCCCTATTACCCCAGCTATGACACTTATTACTCACCCAATTACGTAAACCCCAGTCCTGGGGGGCCCAACCCAGGCACGCCAGGGGCTGAAGGTCAGATCAAGATCAAAAGGGAAGAGGACCAGGATCAAGTTGAGGAAAAAGTCAAAGTTGAAGTTCCTGAAGACCGTAAACCTGACAGCATTGCTCTCGGCCTGCAGCAGCAGCAGCAGCAACAGCAGCAGCAGCAGCAGCAGCAGCAACAACATCAGCAACAACAGCAACAGCAACAGCAGCAGCAGCAGCAGCAACAGCAGCAGCAGCAGCAACAACAGCAACAACAACAGCAGCAGCAGCAGCAACAACAACAACAACAACAGCAGCAGCAACTACAACAACAACAGCAGCAGCTACAACAACATATCCAACAGCAACAAATGCAGCAACAACAGCAGCAACCCTCAGTCATCCAACAGCGATCCAACATGTACATGCAACCGCTTTACTACAACCAGTATGCGTATGTCCCTCCCTATGCGTACCACCCCGATCAAGCCTACCATAACCACTTGATAAACACCAACCCGGCCTACCGGCAACAGTGCGAAGAGCGGCAGCGTCAGATGGCGGAACAGCATCGCGCCGAGAAGAAGTCCGATGCAGCGTTAAAGGAGCGAGAAGCCTCCATGAAGGAGGAGTGGAAACAGAAGAGCCCGATGCCACCGAGCCTCTCCAAAGCCAGTCAGTCGGAGCACGCAAAGGCATCGCAGCCCTCGAGCAAATCCAGGGACTCACCCTCTGAGCCCTCCTCCAAGTCCCTTGGAAGCGTCAAGGGGGACGACCAAAAGTCCCAGCAAGCCGAGGGGCTAAAGATGAAGCTGACCGAAGGGGGCCACCATGGAAAGGAAGACTCCAAGCAAGCACTGGAGTCCAGAGGTCAGCCTGGGATGGAGCAAGCCATGTGGTACAGACAGGTAAACACCAGCTAGTATAAATGTGTGTGTGTATGAATGTATGTCGTAGAATCATTTCAATACGTAGATTCTGTCTTTTGCTGACTTGGACCTTTTATGTATTCGCCCCCCCCCCCTCCCCCTCAGCAGTACCCCGAGAGCCAGAAGGCCCAAGCAGAAGACGAACACCAGCAGCAACAACCCCGATGGAAAGACGAAAGGGACAGAGAGCGGGAACGCGATCGTAAATTAAAGGACGACCGGCCCAGGCCCAAAGACAGTCAGAGCGGGCAGAAGGAGGACGGCAAAGAGGGTGGTGACCCCAGAATCACTTCCGAGGACCACCGGGCCATGAGCAAAGACTCTCGTTCTAATCCCCACCTGCAGTTCTCATCACCACTTGCACAGCACCAAGGCTACATGCCCTACATGCATGGTTACCCCTATGGACAAGGCTATGACCCCAACCACCCCGGATACAGGGGCATGCCCTCAGTCATGATGCAGAATTACCCAGGTAGGACATCAGATCACCAATATATGCTGTCTCTGGAGAATTAATACGGTCCTGGTAGGAAGTCATATTCAGTATGAAAGGTGGTTATCATTTTGAATTAGTCTGAGCTGGTGGCATTAGCGAGCTAAAGTAAGCGATTTAGAACAACGATTAAGTTTAATCTACATCGAAGGAAAGGCAACGCGGTCTTAAACCTGCATGTCTCTTACTACTTAAGAGACAATGGCTCAAATGATTTTGTCATTACAGATTTTCTATCCTCACTGGATCTCCAGGGTTTTTATCGTGATGTTTTCTTTCAAAACGGCAAACGATAAAATAATTATACAATTTGTCTGCAGTTATTTCGGAAACCAGTCAAGCAGCATTAAATGGTTGATAGCGATGACAATAGTTTGGTGTAGCATAATGGGGGCAAAACGGAGCATGGAAGTAATCTGCAGGGTAGTTATTCAATCAACAATTGATTTTGTCTTCATATGTGGTTCTGAACAGTATTATTAGATATGAAAAATCAAATAAACTGAAATACTGAGTGCTTTGGCAAAGTCCTCCTCATATATACAGCTAATAGAATGTAGTTATCGCGTATTCAACTGAAGACCAGGTATGAAAACCGTCATTTTGATAGTTTGATCGGAAACTCCATTTTCCCTTCGTAAAGGAAATTAAAATGCTTCGTTTTTAGTCCACCACAATCGAAAATGTAGTGTTTTATCTGTTACTGGAATGTTGAACTGTCCTCGCCTGGGTATTAAGCAGACGTTGCATCCAAACATCGGTCAGTTGTTATAGTAACTTTTCCCGTCCCTCGCAGGCTCGTACCTTCCCGGAGGCTATCCCTTTTCCCCATATGGCACTAAAATAGCCGGAGGCGAAGAGGGCGGGGACAAATCGCGCGCTAGCCCCACTGTCACCAAAACGGCGGCGGACTCCAAAGCGCTGGATATCCTGCATCAGCACGCCAGCCAATACAAGAGCAAATCCCCCACGGTGGGGGACAAACCCCCCCACGAGAGAGAGAGGGAGCAGGAGCGAGGAGCCGGGGGAGACCGCGATCGGGAAAGGGAGCGCGAGAGGGAGAGAGAGCGAGACGTGGACCGACCGCGCTCCTCGCCCTCGCAGCGCATCATGCCCTCTCACCACCACCTGGGCTACCCGCTGCTCTCAGGCCAGTACGACCTGTCCTACGCCACAGGTCAGTCCTGCTCTCGGGCCGATCCATCATCTGCACTAAATGTTCTTAACCAGGCACTATATATGCAAAACAGATGAATGCCAGTTAGGTTAATCCAAAAGAAAAAAGGCCCACAGTCAGAATATTTTCTGTAAGTAGATGCAGACTGTTTTGGCAGATGACCAATCAGCAATCTAAATTCAGAAGCTAAATAGGAATTTTCCAACCCGCCGTAGGTCTCTCCTCGTCAGCTATTGTTGCCAGCCAACAAGCGGCAACCCCCTCCCTCTACCCGCCACCGCGGAGGTGAGAACGGTAAGACCCTCGTTAGTGGGAGAGACAAAACACAGGCCTGCTGAGACACAAACCGACGAAGGCTGCTGCCAGAGCTCTGGTTGGTGGCATGAAGGTGGACCCCGGTTCCTCTGGTTCCTTCGCGTTTTATTTCATCTCGAGTGAAAAGACCACCCGGCTTCTCTGCAACATTCGTGTTTGCAGAGACTCAGACGCAGCAACCTGCATAAAAACACTAATCCTGGCCAAACAAAGCCCTCGCTGCTCCGCTGCAATCCAGTATAATAAGCAGTGCAGCATTTAGCCCCCCGGCTCATCCTTCCTAAGTAGGTCCTCTGAGGACAAGTGGATCATAGTGTTGATAATAGAGATGTGGAATGAGCCGGCCCAGACTCCGAGCCGGAGCAGCCTGCACTGACATCCAGTGGCGCTTCTTTGAAACGGCCGCTGAGTCATTGGAGAAAGAGATATGTGGTGTTGATTCAACTTTATGATCATCTTTGAATTACGTAGTTCGCCGTTGAGCTCTATTTCATTACACATAGAAGTGTCCCTAATTTATTGAGACCTGGACAAGGTATGGCTTTAGTTAGCAATCACGATGGAACTTACTTGTAGCACGTTGTAGTTTGGCTTTATCGAATAAATTGTACTTTCTTGATTCTTGTTGTTCTGTGTTTCTACTCGCTTGGTTAAACGCATTTATTGTAATTCTCTTTGGATGGAAACGTCTGTTAAGGGAAAAATGTATGTGGGATTTAATACAAATAATAGTGCAATAAAGGTAAACGACTTCCTCCAAAATAATCCTAAAGTTGAATCAACATGATTACACACAAGTTTTATCCAATAAAGAAAAAGTTGTCATTATCAAGAAAATGTCCTTTTAAGAATAACGAGTAACAGTAAAACTGCCCCTTCCAATGCCCCCTATTATTGCATCTATTAATGTATTAATAGTATATATGTAAGCAGAGTTTAAACATTGTGGTTGGTCAGAGGCGATAAAACATTGTATATCATTTAACAACAATTCATTTTAAGATTAACATATTTTTGGGGTGAAATCTTAATCTACTGCTGAACAAACATCGTAGAATTGGATTTAGGAACCGCGCCAACTGCCTTTGTATACATACGGCAAACTGTTGTTATGGCTTCTGCATTTTATTCAAACAATTACGTGATCTGATTGTAAATAAGTGTCTTTTTTTGTCTTTCACAGGGAAACCTGACCGTCACACCTCAACCCTGCAAAGATTCATGTGACTGGCTCACATGAGGCAACGAGCTCCCGGGTGTTACCTTGTAGACATCAGTTGAATGGTGTTTCGATCTATATTTTTAGTTCGTCTGCCCCGAAGCAGACTGTCTTTTTCCTTTCTTTCATTTTTTTTTTCTTTTTTTGGTCCTTCCCTCGTCAATGAGCCCAAACGTTTCCCACCCTCTGACTGACACGGGACTGCTAATAACCCAGGTTCAAAGCCATCGCTCTGCCGCAGCAAGCAGAAGGAACACCCACCCGCTGATTATCTAGTCTTTGCACTGTCAACAAATACAATGCAAAAAGAGACTATTGGACTGCCAGAACAGCTGTTTTTGTTGTTGTTGTTTTAGTTTTTTTCTTTCTTTGACTGCATTGTTCTAGTTTTTTTTTTGTTGTTTTTTGTCGTGCGCAGAAGGAAATTGGCCGGGGACTTTGAGTCGGGTGGCCGACGGGAGAGGGCAGTCAAACTCAATAAAGGACTGAAAAGAAAAAGAATCATATTGAAATGATTTCACCTCTGTCTTTGGCGTGTTGTATGCCGTGAAACAACAGTATATCCTTAACTTGACACATGTTTGGCTATATTTCGGGGGGCGGGGGGCAGGAGGGGGGGAGAATATGGCGACAGCTGCTTTCTTCAGAGACTTGAGAGCCTGAGGCTGAATTTTTTTTATTTTGTTATTGATTTTTCCATCATCACTATCCATCCTCCTCTGAACCCTCACTTCTTGTTTCAGGGATGATGTCGTCACGCCTTTGCAAAGGGGACCGCACACACCTCAGTGGAGAATAAACACTATTCATGTATTCTTTCCTCGCTGATGCGTCACTTCTTCAGCTCCGTATCATTGTGCTCATCCTTGAATGTGTCTGACGCTGGTTTTGAGTCCTGTCTTCCCCTCGCGATGGAAGGGACGCATCCGTCTTTTGCACTCCACCGGTGAAGCCACATCAGCGAGCGACGATGAGGTCACGGCGCCGCGTCTTCTCTACATAATTTTTTTGTTTTTCACTGAACGATTGTGTTTCCTTCAGCTTCTCTCTTTCCGTTTGTTTTCTGTAAATGTGAAATCTCATTCAACTCGCGCGTTTCTCTGCTGTAATATAGACTTTTAGCCTCCTTTTCGTGTGCATAAATGTTTATATTTATCCCAGCACGCCATTGTCGCGCGGCGTTTAACAAGATGTGCAGACGTCTGGCTGTGCTTCTTCTTCGCTCGTCTTGCTAATTTCTCTTATTCTTTTGGCTTCGACACGCTTGCTCCACACTTCAAAATCATCCCAACTGCTGCTGCGTGCAATTGCTGTCCAAATCTTTTTCAGGGATTCGATGGCGACTTTTCAGTCGGTGGGTGGGGGAGGAGGAGGAGGAGGAGGAGGAGGAGGAGGAGGAGGAGGAGGAGGAGGGGGGGTAAATAGTCAGAAGGGCGAAGATTTCTCTTGGTGCTTCACTCGCTCATGTGGCTTCACCATAAACACATTTTATTACGGGACAGTGAGCTTGAGAATGAAATGTCACACGAACCAATGCGATGCAGACTATGAACTTAAAGGACAAGTGTGTAGGATTTAGTGGCATCAGACCGCAACCCACCGAATACCCCCCACGCCCCCCCCCTCCAAGCTCCAGGGGCCTTTAAGGGGATTTTGCGTCATCAAAATCAGGCTTCTGTGGGGTAAAAAAAACAAAAAGGCCCCTTCGTGAGCCAGTGTTGGAAAGCTAACAAAAACACAATGACTCCTGGTGTCGGGTGTTAATACACCAATGGAAAAACGCTTACGAGTATTGTTTACCATTCCTGCCGCGATCCCCCTCAATCATATGCACTGGTCCTTTTTAAATATGAAGAAGGGTGAGCCGGGGAAAAGCGTGCAGCGACAGCTACCGCGGTTCCAACAGGTGAAAGGTGGCGTGAGGAAATCTACAGTGGGGGGGGGCGACAGTCTGCACGGCCTGCTCTACCAGAGGACCCTCCTGGCTTTGACTTACAGTCCTCCTGCGTCTTGGAAGTGGAACTCTATCCAGATGGTATTTGCATTGATTTGAGGGGGCTCCTAGTCGTGGGGTCCTGCGCTCGAGCCCGATGTGCTGCTGTTGTGGGCTATTTTTTTTTTTTTTTTAATTCATAACTGACAAATCGACTTTTCCGCCACACAGCGCCGTCCAAATGAGTTGATTTTTGCAAATGAAATGTTCCCATTGTTGTCTTTTCTTATTTAATACTGTATCTGCTCAAGTCCACAAGCCACCAGTTAACCTAAAGTTGAATCCCCTCTGAAGTTGGATGTTTGCGTTCTGTTGAGTCTCAGTACTTATGAAACTGCTGCAGTTCATATTCGAGGTTCTCGGACATTCCCGGTAAATAAGTTGCCGTTTCACGTCCCGCGTGGGTTTGCGATGGGAGGACGCTCCCACTGTGCGTTTTAAGGAAGAATGGCTGACATGAGAAGGCTGAATGTGGTGGTGCGTGACTCGTACGTAATCTGTGAGGGTGAACTAGGCAGCTGTGATGTCATTAAAGTCGGTGGGTTTTAGTACCAGCGCACTGCATACAGTACATAGTTTTATCAGACAATGGTTGTGACAAGTGCATTTGTTCTCTCTGACTGAGAGTAGTAATGTTATCTCAGTAGTAAGCAAAGCCCAGTGGAAATCATATATACTGAAGTGTATGAAAGGCCTGAAAAGTCATGTTTGCTATCAGCATATTGGAAAGTGCTTGGCTCTTGTATTTTGCAGGACTGTATTTGTATCATGGTGAAGAGTATATTTATTGGCCAGCAGTTGTCTCAATTGGTGCCTAGTTGAACATTCTTCTGTGAAAACACGGAGACACTTGCTCGTTTGTCCTCCCCCCCCCCCCTTCCACCTCCCGCCCCCCCACCCCCCACTCAACCCCACCCTCCAAAAGTACCCGTTCTGGTGCTTGCAAGGATGTTTACAATGTCTTCATTTTCTTTCTGTGTGAGCTATTCAGAACTCTTCACCCTCTCCTCCTTTCTCCCTCCCTTCAGGAGTTTGTGTAAAGTGTACATTGCCATGGTTCTTTTTTATACAATACTCTGTAACTTGCCTTTGTAAATTTGGGCTGGAAAAAAATAAATCTTTTTATGAGACAATCTGTCCTGGGAACTGCTCAATGGCTTCTGCTCTGAGGATGCTGAAGGATTTCTCCTCATTTTCTTTCCCACAACCAATAAGCAATCCAGTATGTTTGTTCAGGTGTTGTGGTCGAAGTAATATTGGTAGAATATTATTACGTAACTTCAGCGACTGCTTTATTGTAAATAGACTATTCTAAAGAATGAACAGTTTGCCTTACATGTTGGTTCCTGACTGATTAGTTGACACTATACTAGTTGGAAGAATATCAATTTAAAACATTGTTAATACATTTGTTGAAAATATCACACACAAGTTTTATCCAACAAAGAAAAAGTTGTCATTATAAAGAATTATATGCATCCATCTTCAAACCGCTCGTCCTTCATGCAGGGTTGCGGGAGCCAATCCCAGCTAACTTCAGGGGAGAGACGGTACACCCTGCACGGGTCGCCAGGCAACCGCAGGGTTAAAATGCTGGAAATGCACATTAGAAAATGCAAAGTGCACATTTGGCCACAGGAGAGCAGTGTCCCTAAAGACGCCGCAGTCCGTCTCGGCCGTCTTAAATATCAGATTGTCTTTTTTCGGGAGTTTTAATGTACTTGGCTAAAAACAAATGGACACGCTTTTGCATCCAGCCGACACAGTAAACTGTTTACAAGGTTTCATGTTGGGAGAATTTCAATTGCCTCTCGACGGTTCTCAACATGGTGACCAGGCGACTCAGAGCTACGGGTGCTAATGGCTGACGGTGCTCATGGCTGACGGTGCTAATGGCTAACGGTGCTAACAATGGAGCCGTGGTGGTAAACTGCGGGGGGACTTCATTCCTATCACTCCACCTTGTCTCTACTTAAGACCCTTTTGGCCCTAAATGTTAAATACAGCTTCCTTAAAGTCATTTTTTTTTCTCTGAAAATATATGTTGCTTATTGTTAACTCCTCTGCGGAAGAAGGAAAGTCTCACCTGACCTGAGCTCTAGCAAACCCAAATAAGTCTGTTTCAATTCTCATGAAACAAGTGCAAAGTCGTTCCTAGAAGTATTTTTTAATTCAACATTATTGAATATCCACGTTTAGCTTCACTAGTCTTTGCTGGTGCACCGCAATCTTTTCTCCACATGTTACTGCCTGTAAATAGTACAAAGGAGGTAAAAAAAACCCACAGGAAAACATTAAATCAGAGTTGTGTACCAGAAGTAGTCTCTGCAAGTTGACGTTCTCGTTATCCAACATATTACTCAAAGCAGTTTATTTCTACACGTCTTGAAACGTGTTTTACAATGTTTTAGTAAATCATTTTGCAAAAATCCAGTGCCTCATACGCGAGGCTTTCTATATAATTTTAAGGTGAATATTATTGAATAGCTTTAGACTGCTGATGAGACAAAGACATTTTTAGATAATGCGCTGCAGTTTTCCAGAGCTGAAAGGTTTTCCCAGATTTACACCAATTTACAGACTTAAGATGATTGAAATGGCCGTTAGTTGCATCAACTCGGCGTCTCACTGCATCACTTCAACCTACTGCACATTACAGCTCTGTCTGCTGTTGAATTGACTGCCGTCAGTCCTTTAAGGATATTTTTATCTGCCCTTAATGCCGGTGAACTGAGGGTGGGCTCCGTGCATTAGCATAATGCAGCATTGGTGACTGGGGAGCGATTACGCTGGGGATGATTTTGTTGAGTGTAAATGTGAAATCTGATTATCCTCGATGCTCTCGGCTCAGCAGAGGGAGGAGGGGGAGGAAGAGGAGGAGGAGGGGGAGGAGGGCCATAGAGAGCGAGCGAGAGAGAGAGCGAGGGAGAGGTTGACTATAGAGGAGTGATTCAGAGGGAGGGAGGGGTTAAGATAGCAAAGTGCTGAGCCAATGGCTTTCTGCACAGAGCAGCTGGCCGGCATCAGGACAGGACGGGCCGCTCGGAGGACGGATACCGTGAGGACGTCTCTTCTCTGCTCGCCGCAGGACACGGAGGGGCGACGTCCAGGAGGTGTTCATGGGATGCACTATCTACGCAGCCAGCCCTAAGGCCCTGCCTGCCGACGAGGCCCCAGGCCAGGACAGACACTACCAGCTCCCCGACTACCGCCACCCTCATGGTAACTGCAGTCAGAGGATAGCAGCCGGCAGAGCCAGGTCAGTCAGCGACACACGCCGGAAGTGCAGCCGATGTTTGGCACGCTTTGTCCCCGAGTAGTTCTGACGAGGGGAATCCAGGAAGAAGCCGTTTATTCAGTCAGTGGTTCTGGTTCCATCTCGACCAATCACAGAGGAGATGCTCCAACAGGGCAGCTGGGTGGGACAGTAACTCGACCATCGGGGAGACCTGTTTTGTGATTTGTTGTTTTGCATTCAGGGTGTGCATTTAGGAAAAACTACCTTTGTAGCAGTTGTTACAAAATTAAAATGCGTATTATTTAAAATACATGCAATTAAGACAGAAATCAAACAAGGAGATGTTTATCTCCAGTCAGTGGTAATGTTATCTCTATGAATAAAACATTTTTTCCACATTTTGGCAGTTTATTATACCTGCAGCTTGGACACAGCATGTTCACTCATTGGAACTGTGTTCATTAAACACAGCACTGAGCTTATTGGATGCCATCGGGCTAACTCATTCCATATTTGGAGAGAATAATAAAGAGGCTGATGCTATTTACAGATTTCCGTTAATAATCCTTTGTTCTGTTTTGTGGGCCTTGGCATCATTAGCAGAATGATGGCCTCATTCCTGTATTCAGTAATCATTTGTTCATACGAACTCCACTTATAAATAATCCATTGACTAACAAATACACAAAGAATCTGGGTCAGCTTTAATGGCCAGTTATGTGTACACATGCAAGTCATTTGAGAAATGCTAAAAACAATGAGATCAAAGATGAACACGGTGATAATCAACAGTCTACTATTAAGTAGAGATATCATATATATATATATATATATAATGAGAATGGAACGATTAATGTAACATGTTGCTTTATGTACAAAAGGGTAGACTGGAAGAAAGCTTATGGTAGTGAAATTTACATGTTTAAGTTCAACATAAATATAAATTCTTGGTGGCAGCAGTGCTAACAGCGCTAACACAGTGCTACTGCTAACTATGCTCTAAATATTGTGTAGAGAATCTTAATCTTTTTTTCTTAAAATTTCCAACCACAAAGATTTCAGTCCTCATTGATTTAGAAATTCTGCTGACTGGAAACAATGAGACTTGAGAATTTAGAATCTGGACTACATCTAAAAATGTTTACCAACTTGCTTTTCTATGCCTCGAGTGCTTGATTCCAATTTCTACGTGTTTAATGGGATGTTGCCGCGGGAAACCACTCTACAGGTATATACATATTGCAAAACTTCCATTGGTGAGCCATAGACTCATTGTGGCACATACTTCCTTGATCGGAGTCTAAAATATAATTTAAAATCTTAAACTAAAAAAATCCATAAAATTGTTTACATGCAGCCGGTTGCAGTTTGCGCTGCACTTTGCAAAGGAGGCAACTGTAAAGAGACCAATTCTCTCCGTGGATCAATAAAGTATTAATGATCTGATATATCTGATACCTTCTTTATCATGACTAGATCTGAAAGTGGCTTATTTCACTTACTCACTTATTAATGCAGGCTTGAATGTTTGTAGCTGTTCAGTGAGTAAACTACTCAGCAGTGTACAACATTATATTTAATTGGCCCCACTGTTACATATTAATACATCAGTAGTTATGATCCAATTATCTGATTCTTATTTTTCTGAGCTGGGCTACTCTGTTTAATGAGTAGGCTACACCTTTGATACTACTTTGAAGTTTATTTTGATGCTAATATTCAGAGGAGGTACATTTAGTTGCACATTACTGAAGTACAGTTTTGAGATGTGACTTTCTTCATAACACTTATTTGACTCAGTTATTTTTTTAAATTAAAGAAATATATGCTACGATTATGATTCAGCATTGAACTAAGAAAATATACTATATAGTGTAGTGTATTAAGAATGTAAAAAAAGGGATAGGGTTTCATTAGTGAATAAAAAAGGCACAGATGTGATATAAAATACAATACAATAATTATCTGAATGTTTCTCTTGTCGTGGGACTATTTTTCTTTACTTGTACGCCGCTTAATAAAAAATCCGACTCTTTCTTCTGCATCACTTTGAATACATTCATTAAAAAACAAGCTGCGACGTTCGAGCGGGTCAGACGGCGGCAGCGCGCGTCGGTCGGCAGGAGACGGAGGGAGAAAACGGCCGCGGTTCAATCCGCCGGGAGCGCGCGCACCGCCCGCAGCGGGCCGTCGGTAAGCTCAGCCCTTCGGACGCAGGACACACTTGTGAGGAGGTCACGGCTCCGTCAGCACCTCCCTCAGCGGCTCTCCCTCAACACCACCTTCTCTCCGTCTGCTTCTACGCCGCCTCACGGCAGCTCGGCCCCTAAAACCCGACTTTCATTCGTCGGCGTTTTTTTTTTTTTTTTTTTTTTATCCTGTGCGCGGATAAAAGAACATGAAATGATTTCAGCGGGAAACGGACGAGTTTTGCGGGGATACGAGGCGACGACGTGGCGGAAACGCGAGTAGAGGTGACTTGTGAAGCTGCAGGTAGGAGCCGTTAGGTGCACCGGAAGCTAGGGGGCGGAAGCGTGCGGGATGCTGGTAGAGACTTCAGAATAAAAGCACTTACGAACAACCGAACATAACCTTGTGATTTTTTGATTTGATGGCGAATATTCGTCAGCAATCACTTGAATAGCCCCCGAACAGAATAGTTACATTTATACCGTGATTCGTTTGGTTACGATATGTAAATAACGTATAATAAACATAATGCCGCTTATACACAATGTATTTCATAAGAATTCGCTTTTATTTTGAAGCGTTGTGTATTTTTCGCGTTTTAACCATGCTTCTCCTCACGAGCTTGACAATGGTTTTGGCATTTGTTGATTATAGGCTATTTATTAAAAGAGAAAGGAGTGTAGATACAGATCCATTTAAGTAATACAATGTGTCTATAGTCATATTTTAAATTCAGTGGAACGTTATTAAAACACGATGTTATCAGACACTTAATTGTCCCTTATACAATAGTCTCAAATATTACTTCCCGTGTTATTATATTTAAATATTAGAGAGATTAATTGTGTTTGGTCTCTTGATGAGACAACACCAAGAATTTTTGCGAAACAAATCCCTCTTGGATTTCACCCTCCAGAGTAATTATTTTGCGCCTTCAGTAAAAAAATAACCTTTGTGCCGTCTTAAAAACACACTTCTGTCTTCAAAGGCTGTTTAGAGGTGCTTGCACAACGAAGGGGTTTATTTCAGGAGTCCAAAGGCTGTTCCTCTGTGGCTGCTTCATAGACTGTGTGAAATACCAGAAGAACAAATTAAGTTCATGTGCAACGATAAGACAAATTGCACTGTGGGGGGGAAAGAAAATCCCGATGATGAGGAATGAAGCGGGTTTTCCCTTTTGTATTTATTTTTGATTAGCACCTTGTTTTTGTGAGTCCCACACATGGGAAGCCTCCCACGTGGCTGCTGAGACTGCAAAAAACGTCCATTTTCAACTAGGACCCCCCCTTCCCCTTTTCAGACAATTAAACCGTGGTGTCGACACACCCCCTGTAAACAGAGCAGACCACATTGGCTACAGAGAAAGGGAAGGCCATGATCGGGTGTTTTTAGGACCGTCTGGATACATTCAGCCATCCTAATCTCCTCTGGATGACTGTCCCAAAGTCAGGGGGTTGATTACTGTGGTTTAACTAATTTATCTGCTTTTGTACTTTGCTAATCTTATGACAGCCGTTTGCGGACAACAACTTTGGTGTTGTGGGCAACGGGGAAGTGAGCGGCAGGCAGAGTGCAGGGATTCCTAAGCAACGATCCAAGCGGCTGGGAACTGTAACCAGATTAGTTTATTGGATTGGAGGTTGTCTCGTGACAGAACAAAATGTTTGTCTCCTGAGAGAAAGGACACTTAACAGTCGTTTCTTCGAAAAAGGTGAAAAAAAAAGGTTTTAAAGGCCACGAAGGCAGTTAACTTGTAGTTTAACGTCTCCCTCTGTGTTCGAATGTGAAGTCGTTGCTCGCTTGTTTTGGTGCAGTGGGTGCTAACGCGGCGGAGATACAATACATATACACATGTTTTAATTGACTCAGGGGATAATGCAGTTTTGTCGTGAGGCAAATATGGAACCGTAACCAAACCGATTAACCCACATTCTTGTTCCTCAGGATGCACCAAAGTTTTCCACATCGCTGCACTTCTTCTGCCACACCGGAGCTGTTTGTCCTGTTGAAGGAAATGGTCCTTTACGCCTCCGAGTTAAAGTTAAACCAGCTTAACCATCGGCCCTCCCAACACCAACAAGCTAAATGGATGACTGCCCCGGGGGCCCTCAAAAGCCCCGGCTTTTTTAGATGGCAATTGGCTTTTGGTTATTTGATTATTGTAACTGTGTTGTAAGTTGGGCCAAAGTTGTGTCCAAAAGACCTTCATTTTTAATGAATAATTCTTGACTTTGGAGGAGACCAGCAGCTCTGAGAAAAGCCTTTGAGGACCCTGCTGCATAGATCTTTAAAATAATTGGCACTCAATATAATCGAAGGTTTGAGGGAGCTGACGAGGCCGTCGGATCTGAGCTCCGAACTCCGGAACAGGCTCATGTGTGTAACTAACTAGCAAGCAGGAACAATTGTGTGAAAATTGAATGATTCTGTAAGAAACCGGCTCGACCTGTAAACTGTTTGTTGATTATTACCTTGAAAAATCCTCATTAGGGGGCTTCTGGGTGTATTTATTCTGCAGCATTAAGCATAATTCACTAATTTACTGTAGAAACGTGTATATTCTGCGAGGGAAATCGCATGTGTTGGTATCACAGGGGATATTTATAGTTATTGCGTTATTTTGGATCATTTCATTTATTCAATTCCACTTCCCTGAAAGCTGCACAGATCAAATGAGACCAAAGACTGATAGAATTCTATGGCTAAAAAAAAGACCCCTTTCTTCTCACGGCGCATGTTTATCCCCAGGCTGCTTGTGTAAACAACAGTGTGACTCCGGCCGCTGTGGGTTTCATAAGGTTTTTAGACTTTAAGCAAACAGTTTTGTGAATCGGGTCACAAACAAGCCTTCCAAAGTCTGTTTCCTGTGCCGTCAGACCCAGTGGGCACAGTGTGGTGTCCAAACGATCCCTGGCCTTCAGGTAGAGGACCCAAATCAACCCAAAATATAATAAACTAATGATTTTATGGTGCTAGGGAAGTTTTAATTTGCATCCATTGACCCATCTTACATTATTCATTTGTTAGAATATGTAAGAATGCATCTCCGTGATTTTGTCAAAATTGGTTTCTTAAATATTCTCTGTGCCCAGAGCTACTGCTCCCGGGAATCTGATTAAAATACTCGTTGCAGAGACAAGCTGAGAGCAACTACAGGCGGCCCCTTTGAACATTGTTCCTAAGTGCAGTGAAAACAACACAACAGGGCTCTGTTTGGCCCTCAGGCTCACATCTGGGATCAGATACCTTAACCGCAGGCTTAAGGTGAAAGGACCCAACAAACGCTCCTCTAACAACGGGCCCTTCGCCTCCTGCCCTGTGATCACGGATGACCAGTCAGATGTAAAAAAAAAAAAAAGCCTGCAAGAAGCCCTCATTGTTTGAACGGGTCAGCAGCTGACGTGAAGCTTCTAGGCCAATTAAAGATAATACACTGGAAACTGCACGCTGGAGCACATTGCCATCAACACCTGTAATTATACCAGGGCAGGTGGTAACCCCCCCCTCCCAGAGGGAAATATGGCTCGGGGCAGGTGGCTGTTGATGTGCAGAGGGGAGGAAGAAGCGTAGAATGGTTAAAGGCGGCAGGTACTGCATCGCATTGAGAGGAAGTGACCTGCTTTTATCTTTGTATTTGCATTCATGGTGAAAATAATAAGCTAAGCCAGCGGTGACTTTACGTGCACCTGAGCAGACATTCGTTGAACAAAACAAAAAATACATTGGCTAAAATCAATGGATGTGTATAGTTAATATTTTTTGGGCTGAAACTGTGGAAGAAAAGTAATTGATAACTATACTTGTCTAACAGCAATGAATAACTAACTTAAATGTATGGATGCATTGGCAAAAGTAGTTTCACATTAATATGATTCATGGTCATTTCTTTGGCTTTCTCTGATTCTCCATAAGCTCATTTAGAGACATCTGGTGCTGAAAAGTGTCGGAGTGCATTTGTAAAGAATAAAACTGTTTTGAGTCATCTCGCAGCAGCACGTCAGGTCAGCCATCTGCACAACCTCCGAGGTGCTCCAGGTCTTTGTAGACCTCTGTGAGGAGACACCGACCCCGTTTGCACAACAAATCAAGAGCGCAGCAGCTTCGTTGTGCTGAGTCAGCGTTATTAATCCAACAAAATCAGACTTTGACATCACAGCTGCATTGATTTTAAAGACAGAGTCCACCTGTTTGTCTCCCGTTCAGAGCCGAACCCGGACGCGAAAGCAAACAGCATTTTTGAAATTTCTTCTGCCAGCGTGCGGTACACGACGTTCCGGCGGCGGGGAGGAGCGCCCGCTGTTAACGGAGCGCCGCGTGTTTGCGTTTGTGTGTTCAGGGCCAAGAGCATGACCGAGCAGCAGGAGCAGAGCGAAGAAACGGGCCTCCTCGCAACACAGGACCTGGACCACTGCAAGGACGAGGACGCGCACGGCCACTTCAGGCAGGCTCGCACACACACACACACACACACACACACACACACACATCCACTCTCCCCCCTCCCTCCCCCGCCCACACACACCATCTGTATCCTGGTCATGGGTTACAGCCACAGGAGATTTATTTTCACAGCCCTTCTTTTCTGTGTTCATTGCTGTCGTATTTGATGTCAAACAATGGTAAAACATGCACGCACACGCACACAAAGAGGCAGGAAATAAACTGTCCATATGCACATATGAGTGTGTGTGTGTGTGTGTGTCTGCAGACCAAAGGAGTGTGTTGCATAAGAAGGATTGGAGGCAGGAGCGCTGTAATCCCGGGGAATCTGTTCTGGGATGAGATTTAGTGCTGAAGGCTCTTAGTGGGTTCAGGGAATGGGAGGGGCTTAGCACACCTGTCAGTCTGTCAATCAACGTGTGTTTGTTTAGTACACTACGGGCCTTTGTAAACAAGTCCTATTTAAGCTTTTTACAGTTATTGCTCAAAATATGGCCTTTCAACTGCAATAACGTAAGTGCTTTTTTACAGTTTTAATAAAAGCTTAAAAATATCCAGCTCATGGAACATAAGAAGATATGCTTCACTTTCACATCTGTATGAAACGTCTCTTTGTTTCAAATGAGGACCTTTGGTGCTTTGATTCTAAACTCTGGGGACATTTTGAAAGCTCCTCCACTTCTCTCATCATGCCGATCTTTTGCCAAATGTGTCTCTTCAAGCTGAATTATTGACTGGGAGTCCACTGCTGCACCGGCCACCGATGGGAGGTGTTCGCTTTCTAATTTAGGATTCAATTTAGGATTCTTTGAGCTTGTAATTAGTTTCACCACTCGGCCTCACTGCCAAGGGCACTGAGATACACGTCTGAGGCGCATGCACACACACACACACACACACACACACGCACACGCACACGCACACACGCACTCCGAGCTTCAGCTCATTGTGCTAAAAGCTGGTACACTGGTGCAGCTTCATTTCCAAACCCCAGTTTTTGTGGTAAATTATTTTTGAGCGTCTATACTGGACATTGAATTTCACTGTCCTCAGAGTCTTCAGGCCGGTGGGAAATACACACTTATTTTGCTGCTGCTGTGTAGAAACCTAACAACAAGTTTTTGCTTCAGCTGGAAGACTTTTTTTTTTCTTCCCCTCCTGGGAATTCATTTCAAACCACTCTGAATAACACGCCAAATAAACCTTAAGAGACATTCTGGTGAAGCTTTTTTTTATTTCTTGACTGTCCATCATTTTCGCACAAGTGTTTCCGGCATGACCTTGTTTATACCCTCTGTATAAAAAGAATAAACTGCGACACACACACACAAACACACACCGCGCTCACAGCTGTGCTAAATATCACCCGAGAGGGGAAATCGCCTGCAGCGTTTTTCCTTCTGACTCTCGCCCGGCATCCATGATGTACCAGCAGTATTGATTAAGACCTGACTCTTGCGTAAGAGCCAGAGACAGATGGAGAGCGAGGGCTGCGGAGCCGGTTCGTCCCCACAGAGCTGCCTGTGTTTTTAATAATCTACTCCGTTCTCTCCACCTGGGTGTGCACAGCCACCGCGGAGCCTATTTATAGGCAGCGCCCAGCAGGCACGGCGAGCCGCACGCATGCACTGTTGTTCATAACATGGTCACGAGATAATGGGATGCTGTTTCTACGAGGGGGATTTGCATGAGTATAATCGTTCATTTTCACATGTAGGAGAAGCTGCGTAAAGTAATCAGAAGAAGCACGTCAGCTTTGGTCTTTTTTGAAAGCTTTTAGCTTAGTTTGGTTATGGATTTCTTATATATACTGTTTCTAATCTCATTTAAACTGCTTTGAGATTGTTTAGGAAGTCAGACTTCAGACACGGGTATTGTATCTACTCGGTGCACCGGATGTGTACAATAACCGCAGTTATGTTCTTGTGGATGGACAAAATCTACTGAACATAAAGTGACATCTTCACAGCGGGAAGGAGTCTAGTTTGCCGCGTTGAAGGTCTTTACTTACGGATTCACTTGCTGCGCTTTTGAAGTTAATAATTAAGGGATGTAAAGTGACTAATGCATCGCATTAAGTGTCTGTAAAGCGTCCAGCTGGAGAGCAGCGCTGGCGCTGTCACAACTGTACTGCTCTGCTGCAAACAACAGCCTCTTCCTGCTCTCACACACACACACACACACACACACACACACACACAGAGAGACAGCAGGCAGCTTAGCATCTGTTAGCCCACTCAGCTCTTTGACACTTTAACCCTGCTTGGGTCTTTTTCTGGCCGGAGTTGTGGATCATTTCATTCACTTTGAATCCGTTGCTTTATTGGCATGAAAGGGAAAATAAATAACAATGTTTCCTTATTTTATTCTTCTTATATTGCACCTATGTAGCAAGTCACTCTTTGTGTAACATACGTGGCAATAAATGGCTTCTGATACTGTCACCAAGTCAAAAGGCTTTGGGTGAGAGGAGGCAAATCGATGCCTTTCTTTGCGGCACCGTATGAAAATGGCTTCTGCAGAGTGAGATAATCCATCACAGTAAACAAAAAGCTACAACTTGTTGTTTTGCCGGAGCTTCGGCTCCATCAGTAACTCCCGGAGCAGGAGCCTCTTCGTATCAGCGCATCGTCCGGCCCTGCTCGCCTGTCAATCACCTTGCGCTCACAGAAAGACGCAGGAAGAAAGGGAAGAGAAAATAACAGCTCAAAAACATCTGGCCTATCACAATTTATGGTCGCATAAACACATCTTATTTTCTTTGAGGCATCTTAACCGGGCCAGCAGTCCATTTCAGTGACCTTTTCCTTAGAGGGCCGATTATACCACATTTTATCTGCTCGGTGGTTCTGTCTGCATTAGTAATGGATATGAGTATCATGCTGTGACATCTGCTGCACCGTTCTGACTGCCCCTCCTGAGGCAAGCTCGATGCTGTGTGTGTGTGTGTGTGTGTGTGTGTGTGTGTGTGTGTGTGTGTGTGTGTGTGTGTGTGTGTGTGTGTTCAAGCGCTCTGTCTATAAAAAGAACAACATGGACAATCTCCTGGCATGGTCACTATTTGTGTTTAAACAACTCAATATTTATCTTTGATTGTGTTGTTTTGTGACAGCCTCCGTCTCCCTGCAGTTATGCACTCACTGATGATTAACTAGTCACGTGGACGCTTTGACCCAGCTGGGATTTTCACGCAATGTACACGCACGCACACATAAAATATACACACACATTGCCACGCGCACGCAAGCTCAGAACCAGTTGGCGCCTTCAGGCATCAATCTGCCTTCAAATGTGCAACATATATATATTAATTTATCCCAGTAGTACATTGAGAGCGAGCAGGGAGGTTTCATACGGAATAGTTATTATTTATGAGATGTAAACACTTTCATTCTAAGTGTATTCTTGCTTGTGTTGCAGGTTTCAGTTGATTGAAGACCTGTCCTATGAGGATGTGAAGAAATGTTACCGGGGCTCGGTGAGTCTGGTCCGTCTCTTGCTGCTGATCCTTGGTACATCCGACCAGTTAAACTCATTTCCACCCAAACGTTTATTCTAAAATGGTTTATTCGTTTTGTGATTCCTCGACTGAAAGGCATTTCTCTCACTTTCAAACTGCAGCAGATATTTGTCAGATCGTGACCAAAAACAACAATGTCACACAACAATTTGTGATCTGATGCATATTACATTTTACATAATTGATCTCTTTAATTCTTCTCAATCGTATATGATCACTTTCTAAAAGGCTAGAGAAAAATAACACGCTGCAATTATACATGTGAGAGCAATGACCACGTTTGACCACAGAATACTCCTCTACTATACTACTATTATAAAACAACGTACGCACTCAACACCTGAAACTGAACGGCAAGCAAATGATCAAATCTTTATTCACAGGCTCAGCGGTATTATATAATTATTATATAATCCTAAATTATTACGACGCAGACGTGCTGCACTGCTCCGGACAAACTGAGCCTTCGTACGAGTGACAGAAAGAACGCCATCTTAACCCAGAGGGAAAAAATCCGACCCCCCCCCCCCCCCTCCCACAGACTAATGGTCTAATTGGCGACGCAGACGGCGTACATTAACCAAGTGGTGATAATTCACCCACAGCGAGATATTTCCCCACGACAGCCGCCGCTCCACCGAGGTATTAATAGCCAGACAAAAACCAGAGCAGCGGACGACTGAAAGATGAACCGAGCCGGTACGAGCAGGCGGGACACGGGGGAGGGGGATGGGGGGGCAAATAGGTGGCAGATAGCTGGAGCTCCGAGGGGAGTGAATGAGACCTGTTGTTTGCTCAGAGGGGAGGAAAATGTCTGACTTTTACGTGTCACCGACTGCCACTGCAGACAAACCGACACCCGGGAAGGAAGGCAGCGAGAGGAGGGGGCTTCAACCGAGAGAGAGCAGGGGTGTGTGTGTGTGTGTGTGTGTGTGTGTGTGTGTGTGTGTGTGTGTGTGTGTGTGTGTGTGTGTGTGTGTGTGTGTGTGTGTGTGTGTGTGTGTGTGTGTGTGTGTGTGTGTGTGAGAGAGAAGGAGGCAGGAGGAGAGGGAGGGCGTCGGCTCGGTGCTCAAAAAGTGTGAAGTCACTGGAGGAGCATCGGAGACGGAGAACAGGGAGCCTTTCAGTTTCGGAGAAAGAGCCGTGTGTCGTTGCTGCTGTGACTCCCTCGTAGTGTACGTGTGTGTAGCTGTACACGTCGGTGTGTGTGTGTGTGTGTGTGTGTAGGTGCACGTAGGTTAGAGGTAGACACTCCTCTGGGGGTGGAGGGGGAGGTCTGGGGGCCCCCCCAGCGCTGACCGGCGACAGGGCCTCAGTGTGTGTCTTGCAGCGGCTTGCTCCAGGCCCTGGATGTGCGCGAGTGTGTGTGTGTGTACGGCGCCAACGTGCTGAGCCTGGTGCAGAGCTCGCGTCCTCTGAGGGAGCGAGTGGGGGCGGCGGCCAGCGGAGCCAAAGTGGGCGGCGGCGGCGGCGGCGGCGGCGTGGTTGGTGGAGGTGGTGGAGTGGCCGGCGTTGCTCTGCAGGCAGGCCGCTCGGCCAAGGAGCTGCTCATGACTCTGCCCTGTCCCTCTGCGCAGACCGTCAGCAAGTACAACTCGCAGTACCACAAACTGTTCCAGTGTGTGCCCAAGGAGGAGATCCTCATGAAAGGTAACGTGCTCCTTCGAGCTCCCGGGGGGTCTGTTCTGTGCTAGTTTGATTGATCTGCCTGCTGACATTCTTGGACTTGTCAATGTGCTTCGCTTGTTTGTCATTTGTACTTTCCTCCTCGGCTCGTCTTCCAGGCGACTAACGCACAGCGACGACGAGGACAACGATATTAGAACATTCAGGATTCGTCAATTCACAATTGAGTCACCGCTTTTAACAATGAGTTAATTATCTTGTAATTTATGGAACAATAAGGATAAATAATGCTGAACGTTTTTCAGCATTGGCTGTGTTCGGTTTCTCTTTTTCGTATCTAACATGTTGATGTGATGGACGGTGCAGAGAAGACAAGCTTTGTAGTAGCATGAAGGCAAACGAAGCTCTGTGGTGCTCATGTGGAACTTACACCTGTATTTTAGTCAAACTGAGGTGAAGACACACTAAATTATTTTCAGTATCTGAAAAGTACAGCAGCCTTTGTAATCGCTGTTTATCTGCTGTCCTTTCTGTTCTCTGCGTCCGTCTCGCGTCAGTGTCTCTCTGTCTTTGATAAGCCTTCATCCAGCCGACGATGGTGCAATCACTCGGGTTCTCTCTCTCCCGTCCCCAGTGTACTCCTGTGCTCTTCTCAGAGATATCCTTCTACAAGGCCGCCTCTACATTTCCAGAAACTGGCTGTGTTTCTATGCCAACCTTTTCGGCAAAGACATCAAGGTACGAGAGACTGACTGACTGACTGACGGACGGACAGACAGCTGGATAAACTCAAAGTGACCGACGTCTCCCAGTCACGTTCTGACAGGCCGACTACACACAGCGGGACAAATTATTTGACTGAAAGTCGTCCAGCGGTGTGAGCTGACTGTCACATAGAAGAACTCTCTCTGTCTGTCTGCACTGTGGAATTATGTATAACAACAGGTAGACACACTGACCCCTTGACCTGCTCCAGCTATGCCATTTCCCCTCTGATGTAGTGCGCTGCCCCCCCCCTCCCCCCCTTACCTTCATTTCCTCGAAACCAAACCTCTCCTGACATCCGAGAGACAATAAGCTACTGATTCGGGCCGCATTCCCCACATTCTGACTGAAACAAGACGCGTTTGACATGTCCACTTGCCTGTTCTCTCAGCACTTTGCTTTCCGCGTGTCTCCTGAAGCTCGCTATCGTCCGTCCCCTTCAGGTGCCCATCCCCGTGGTTACCGTGAGGCTGGTGAAGAAGCACAAAACAGCCGGCCTCGTGCCCAACGGCTTGGCCATCACCACGGACACCGGCCAGAAGGTGACACTTCCCCCGTCCCCGGGCCTGCTGCGAAAACCCAAAATACTCGTGTGCCGATTAGCGCAGCGTGGCCCGGCTTCTCCGGGAGAAGGTGTGATGGAAAGAAACAGCGCGGCGCTATAGATAGACGCGGCGTGGAGCGCCGTCATGGAGGCACGATGTATTTATCATGTTTTTTTTTTTCCACCATTTAAGGCTTCTTAACTTTCCCACGACTCGACCTGTCATCAAGTGCAGCCTTCAAAGACACAATGTACTTTTCGCCTTCTCGTCAGGCCCCAACGCTCCATTGAAAATGATAGCGGGAAGCTAATTTTAGCAGCCCGGGTTTTGTGTCTTCAACGACCTGTCAGTCTTCTGAAAAGAGGGACCAGCAAATACACGGATGTGTTCAGCGCGTTCCATAAGAGAAATAAAATAATGATACTGTCTGACTATCCGCCTCCCAATGTGGGACTGTAGTTTTTACTTGTTAGCATTGTAGCTCAAATCCATAACGGAAGAGCGGCGCGAGCACTGACGCGTGGAGCGTTGCACATATTAAAGGGTGAATTGGAGCAGAATAAGTCAGCGATTCTGGAGACAGACTTGTTGTTCAGCAGATTTACCGGCCCTCTCGCCCGCGCTGCCTTCGTATATTCATGGCGTTGTTTCCCATTCGCAAGAAAATGTATTTGATTAAAACACTTTTTAAACAAATTAGCTACTGATTTCAATTCAAGGACAAATATTTCATTGGCACGCTTTTTTGTTATTTTTTTTACTTGAATGAATTGGCTTTAAGGCGGCGGTGGCGTGGTGGTCAGCACTGTCGCCTCACGGTTGTGTGTGTCTCTGTGTAAGCGCTTTGTTTGGCTGGCGATAGCCTGCAGCCCCCCCGCCAACCCCGTGTGTGCAGGATAACCGGTTTGCAGATGAATTTACTTTATTTGTCAATCAGCATAGAAAGTTGGTTCCTTTTTTCCGTCCCCATTGATCTTCCGCTCAATGCAATGAACTAGACCACAGAATGATGTGCATGTTTCTAGTGAGAGCAGACACACGCACACGCACACACGGAGCAGGCCGGTACTCAGAGATAAGGCAGTCGTCACAAAGTTCAGAAATAGCTCATGTTCTGAAGTGCTCCGCAGACATTCACATCCTCCACTCCTGCGCACTCACATATACATACCCAACAGTACGCATGTGATCTAACGGCTCCATCCTTTATTCATAACACTAATCATTAATAATTAATGAAGTTCGTGACTGGGCAGATTTTCCTTTTTGCACGTGAGCTCAGATTAATGTGCGAACATGAAGCTGAGTGTATCTCATGTGTGCGAGCTTGTGTAATGCGCATCACATTGCAGTACGGACGTTCTCACTCGTGTTTATGAGGTAAAGAGTTCACGGCTCCTGTCTGGAACAACCAGGTCCGGCCTTGTTTGTCATTTCTCAGCTCATTCTACGTCAGCAGAGATACAACAGGACACGCGGCTCAGACGCCCGTGGATACATTCAAAAGGTGCGGTGATGTTTATCCAGGTCAGAGGGATATTTGTGCCGGCTTTTCCCCCCTCGAGCTGTCGCTCTTAGTTTTTCATGAAAGAATAGACCGCAGCAGAAATGCGATGAGAGCGATATCCTCTCTGTGACCCAGATTATGAATCCCTCGAGTGTTTTGCTCCAAATTAGTTCCAGAAAATGTGGACTCTTTCCCAGAAATGCCACTGTGTAGTTCTATGCACCTGAGTACGCGCCTCAATGCAACGATTGCATACTCACAACAGGAGCAGGCAGTTCCAAAGTGCTGTTTCATTTTGTGCTTAAAATGAGGTGATAAACGACTGTAACATCAAAAACAGGCCGACACGTGAAATAGAGAATCTTCTATTTATCTATCATCTATTTCTTAATTCAGTTTCCAGCTCAGGGCTCGTTAAGGTTTAATATCATGTCTCATCTAACCTCATTTTAGTATACAGCTTATCTGTGTTGTTCATTACACCTCCAACTGCATCAACACACATTTGAGAGAATCGCTCACAAATGAGCTGCTGTAATCCTTTCTGTGTGTCAAGGGACTATTTCAAGCTGTAAGCAGCATTATTAACAGAATGTTAACAGGCTTTCGGCATCACTGTTTGTCTCTTTTATGTCCTCAGTATGTCTTTGTATCTCTGCTATCAAGAGACAGTGTCTACGACGTCCTGCGCAGGATCTGCACACACCTTCAGGTCAGAGGGGTCGGATATTATCGCATGCGTACTCTCGATTTATTCCATGTATCGTGTGGTGGGAGTCCAAGTTGATGAGGTTGTTTCCTTTTTCTTCAGGTCAACGGGAAAAGTCTGAGCTTGAAGCAGTTCATGGAGGAGCCGACGTTATCGCTGGTCAGTCTTCATACAATTAGAAAGATGCAAGTGGGTGTCAACACCTCCTAATATTTAATGATTCCAATGTGCTTTCCCTATTGGTCTAAAGGCCTCCGACAACGTTCCCTAATTACACGAACACAGACATTTTGTTACAGCTGCGTTCGCCCGGTGAATAATCCCTCGAGTCGACAAGATTCTATCAAAGTGAAGTCACCGTGTGTGTGTGTGTGTGTGTGTGTGTGTGTGTGTGTGTGTGTGTGTGTGTGTGTGTGTGTGTGTGTGTGTGTGTGTGTGTGCACACACACTAGAGGCCACTGCATCACAGAACAGCGTTTGTATTGAGATGTTTTAAGTTGTCGTCTAAACTGAAAGTGTTTAAAGAAAAAAGGGCTCGTGGAAGCTTTTGTCGAGCTTTGATACTTTAACACGGAAAATGTTAAGATGCTTGAATTGATTTGTAATCAGAAGTTGTAGAAATTGAGATTTGGTGACCTTGCTGAATGTCTCTTCCCGTTGTTGCTTATCGAAGCTTTAACCGACAGATAGCAGTCAGTTATTTATGCTAATAAATAATTTACTATCGCTTGGTTAAGTCCTTAACTGAAGCAGATTTTGGGTGGGAAAGTTGTGTAACAAAATGTGTTCATTAACATTCATAACTACACTTTCTCATGGATTACTATTTCTTTTCTTTTTTTTCACAAATAGCAAGGATGAAAGACGGCGCCATAGTTGTTCCCTTGAATGGTTATAACGCATTTATAGCATCACCTTCGTGGTGTGGAAATAGCTCGTTTCAGGGTTTCACTCTCATGTAGTGTTCACAAAACCAAAATATGATTGAAGTCTAGAAAGAAAAAAAAGCCAAACTGTCTGTTATGCAGTTATATCGCTGCGAGTCAGTAGTCATCTCCATCCTCCGCTCTCCTCTGTGCCACAGGACGAGTTCCCAGCTCCAGACGAGTTCCCGGTGGTCGACGAGTTCCCGTCGGTGTTGAAGTGGAGGAGGAAACCCTCCGTGGTGTCCGTGTCCTCCTCCCTCCCCGACCTCCTGGGCAACTCCACCAGCAGCCTGAGCGCCGCCGACGCGCCCTTCAAACCAGAGCAGCCGCTGGAAGGTGACGCGAGGCGGGGTGCTATTCCTCCGTGCTCCGAGCTTTCAACTCATCCTGCAGGGATCAGTTAATAATCAATAACGCATTGAGAGGGAAAGCCGCCTGCAGCCTTTTAGTTCTCGTCCAACAAAATGTAATTAAGTTGCTTTGCCAGCGACAGATTGGCTATTAATCTTAAGAACACGGACAGCCGTTATGTGGTCAATGTGTACGGGGGGACGAGGAAGTCTGTCCACTCAATAATGAGAAGTAATAGTGAGTCAGAGGAAAGACTCTTCAAATTGACTCTTCCTCTATAGGATACCCTGGATGCACGTGTGTTTGTGTGTGTGTGTGTGTGTGTGTGTGTGTGTGTGTGCGCGAGCTAGCGCCCTTTAAGCTTTTTGGGTGAATTTCTGCGTGTGTGAGCGTGAAAGAAGAGTAATTGCTTCTGGATGGCAACGTCTCTCTTATGCAACGACACACAAAGCTCCAAATGGAGATTAAACGGTGCAGCGGTTTGTATCAGAAAGCTTTGGGCGCTTCAGATTAAGGGGAGATGATCACAAACAATGTCCACGTTATCCGAGGACAGTTGACCGTCCGTTTCTCAACACTGACCTACATTAATGTTCTCTGCTGTCCAGCACGTGATCGTGCACGTTAGCATCGCGGCTGTGGAGAGATGGCAGATGATGTCACTGCAAGATGTAGAACGAAGCATATTTGATTGAATGAATCACACAAAAAGAGATTCAGGCTGTGATGATCAATCACTAAATGATTGATGATTGAGATCCTCCATGCAATACCTTAAATGAACAATAAATGAAAAACTACATAAGACTCTTTATTTATTGTTTAACTCAACAGGCAAAAATGGTGTTCTCTGGTTGTATTATTTCTTATTTTCTCTATTTATTTATATATAAATTGGTTGGTTTGTCCTCAAACTCTTGGTTGAGATGTTTGCCCTGTGACAACAACAAGGTTATATAACAGCTCCCAGTGTTGATTATTTTTATTTAATTCCACACTGACATTTTCTATCTACGACCAGAATTTAGAATTACTTTTTTTTTTGTGTTTTGTTTTCGGGCTGTAAAGTTCATATTGTTGCTCTAACAGGTGGGCCGGCACTGTTGAAAGTGAAGCATGTAGCGCAGTCAGGCCATGTACTGTTGATGGGTTAATGTTATAGTGCGTGTGTGTGTGTGTTTTACAGAGCGAGCTCTGCAAACAGACAGAGGTCTTTTATCAGAGCCAGAACTGGGCCAGATGGAGTACCAGCTGCTCAAGTTCTTCACCCTACTGTGAGTATACAGAGCGACACACCGACACCACCGTCACCTCCTCCGACAGCTGACTCACACACACACACACACACACACGATTTATGCATTAACATGGAGGCATAAATCGTGGCCAATTCACTCTGTCAAACCGAACCCGGGGGGATCCGACCTCTGATGAGAACAAACTTAATTATTAAGATTCAGTGCGGAGCGTCAAATAAGTTGTCTGTGCCCTCGTTGCTCCACCGGCTCGGTGGCGTAGCGGCGATCAGAGACCCGTCCTTCGCCTGGTGGTCGTGAGGCCTTCGCACCTTCAGAGAGCAGCTGATCCCCTCTCTGCTCCTGGAGGTTTGAACTGAAAAGTAAAGATGAAACAGAAAGACACATGTTTCCTTCACTCCACGAACGACTGTGAAGCAGTGGCCACATTTAACATCTCTGGAACTTTGTTTTGATGCTTAGTAAAAGTTCAGCAGGAATAGAAATCACACTTGATTTGCCAAAGTCTGTTGTGGTTCTTTAACACAGATTCTAAGCTGTCGGAGTTGACGGGAAGTGAAACGTTGCCTCCCAGTGTTCATCGGTTCACATTACAGCTGTGTAGCTTTTGTACGTCCTTCCCCTGATGTGTGCGTGTGTGTGTGTCTGGTCTTCTTCCTTCAGCATCATCCTCCTCATCCTCTCATCCTGCTATCTGGCCTTTCGCGTGTGCAGCCTGGAGCAGCAGATGTCCTTCCTCAGCAACCCAAATCTGCCCCTGAGGGAGAGGTAACGGGAATGGAATGAAAGTTTGGATTCAGTCATAAGAGACTGAATGAACCGCGTGTGTGAGACCGGCAGAGTTGTGTTTATCCTCGTTATTGATCAGGAACAATACCGGTAAATACTATGATCCGTGTAAGACGTCATTTAACGGTCTAACCTGCTCTCCTCTCGTCCAGGTAACCGCTGCTCTCGGCTGCGACACTGTAGATCGGCGGCTGTTTTCTCTTCTGGCGCTTTGAGCCGACGATGGCCTCCTGCACAGATCCGGGACCAGCGTCGGAGCCCAGAGAAGATCATCCCAGATGAAAGGACCTCCTTCGTAGTGATCACTTCCAGGCTATGCAAACAGACTGTCTATTTATTTCTGAATTTAAAGTAGCTTTTACTGTAGCTTCTGATTTGTCTACCATTGCCTTTTCCTCTCACGGACATTTCCTCTTTTAACGAACGAATCTCTAAGCATGAGAGTAGGGAGCGGATCGCAGGGGAAGCTGCTGCTTGTGACGTTTAGGAGTGGTGGTTGGAAGTAAAGGCCAGGATGGAAAGTTAAACACATTAATTACTTGAAAAGACGGATAGAAGAGATATTTCTGGGGATCTGCGGGGTTCGTATCCAACATGTTCTCGAGTAGTTGACTGAACCAAATGTTTGTTTGTCTCTCTGGTGAGCTCTTGCAGAACAGCACACAGTAGACTGTTAAAGCAAACTACAACAAAATGCACTTTTTAAAACACATGTCCACAACAACTGTTTTAAGAGATTCGATCTCTTTGATTCTTGATAATTGGTACTCGGTTGTCATTTTTAAGGGTTTTTATGGAAAGAAGTGATGCTATGACGACAGATAAACGACAGATTAAAGTTACCTGCCATTTAAATGTAATACACTGAAGTGATAACACCACTTGTTATCTTTAATGTGAAGGAGATGATCCAGTGACATGCATCGTTTCTCTTTTAGTTACCTGCTGTTTGAAAGTAGTTACCAGGATACTTTGTTTTTATTTTATACATTTCAATTGAAGTCACCAAAGACTCAAAAAGGTGATTGTATCTTTGTCTCGGGGTGTAAACAGTGATTTTTGCAGACACGGGTGGAATGTAGTCCTAGACTAGTTTGTGAAATCCATATGAATTAAATTGGCTACAAAATGCCGACAAACAAAAAGGATTCAAGACTTTTTTTTGGGGGGGGGGTCAACATTTAACCCTGCATCCCGTCATATCGGCACTACACACAAGACCACCATGAAAAGCCGTGACAGCTCAGTCAAATTTAGTACCTTCTTCAACCCGCCCGGAATAATTAGGCTGGAACAAAATGTTGGCTGAAGCCCTCGATGCTTAATACGCGACATCTGGAGCTGTTCTCCAGTGGCACCGCTTTTATTCCACGTTTCTGTCTGAACTCAAGAACTCGTACTATTCAACTTCTCGTGGTTTAACTGCGTTCAGTAGCTTCAAAAAAAAACAACCCACCATAAGAGAAGAAATGCATTCAAACGGATGAACAGTAAACATTATCTGACTGATCATCTCAAGAAGCTGAAGCCACGTAGAAAGTCTCCACGAGACAACGAAGACGTCCACATGTGTCTCACACTGTAAACGTACGACCCGTGCTCTTACTAACCGGCTGAGGGGAGGATTTTGAGGATGAGCGGGTGTTCCAGTGGTCCCAGTAAGGTCGCCACAGACGTCCGTGGGATGGCGTCTGGACGGGCCGCCACGCCTGCTTGCAAGTGGAATGCTGAAGGAGTAAATCACTGACGGCGTGTTTACTCTGGATCACCTCCGTCCAGCTCTTTATTCAAGCTGTTGCACTAAGTAAATATTCAAAGCGGGGACTCGTTGTCAGACTCTGCTGCTTCTTACATCTCGTCTGCATCAGTTGTGACGATTTCCAAAAATAATCTCTATAATAGTGTATTATTCTAATGTGACGGCACAGTCTAAGTGGTGGTGAAGAGTTGTCCTGTGCAATTCATTTGTATCTAATTTAATGCTATTTAAAAAAGGACAACCTGGATGATTGACAGGAGTCACAGTTCCTGCTGTGAAGGGGGCGGGGGCAGACAGGAACCCTGAACAAACCTGCTGACCAACAAAATCTGAACTAAGGTTTTAAAGAATAACCTTTCAGGTTTTCTACGAAAGTCTGATTTAAAACCATCAGAAAAATACAAAATTGTGGAAATGTGACACGTTACATCTGTAAGGTCTTATTGGCAGAACTGTCTTGTGCGATCTGTAACATCTGTAACAATTTACTCAGTTACAATTAGGTTAATCAGTCAGTTAATACGCTTATTTGAAATATGTGTCTCTTTAGTCCGTCTTTACTCTGCGTTGCTGTTTAGCTGGTGTTTTATATAAGTAGGCATGTAATGTTACGGATATATTACTAAAGTACAGTACTGAGATACTTGTAATGTAAAGAAGTATTTTTATGACATCACTTGTCATCAGTGGTGCACGTAAAACAAAAGACATTTGCTCAACTGTACTGAACAGTTTTATGGTACTTTCAAGTATGTATTTTAATGTTATTCTACTTTATACTTCACAGATTTATATTTTACTTACTTTCCCAGCGTATAAAATATAATGTACTTTTATATATTAAACCACCGAACTATATTACGTGTCATTTAGCTGCCGCTTTTCTCCAACTTACAATAAGTGCATTTCAACCATAAGGATACAAACCCAGAAGAACAACAAATAAATATATATTATATACAATTATATAATACATACTCTTACTATGAGTACATTATTCAGATAAAACTTCTACACTTCTACATTTTAAAGGCAGAACGTTTACTCCTAATGGGTATTTTCAGGGGCTATTTTTACTTTTACTTCCACACTTGATGCGTGCAGATTATTAAAATGATGCATGCGATAAACGTGCTGCAGAAACAAGTTCATTCTAATGATTAGCTCATGCTGCACGTAGTTTTATCGCTCCCAGCTGAAGTCTTCTGGAGCCCTTAAGACGCACAAAGGGTCGAGGCCAACCTCCATAACTCTTTGTGTGTGTGCGCGTGCACGCGTGTGTGTGTGTGTGCGTGAGTCACTTTAAGCTGTGGGCTAATGACGCCAGGTCGAAGCAGATGGTCGGACAAGCGGCGTCCTCGTCCATACCTCCAGGGAGCCGTATTGTCTCCCCTGGAATGCTACCGCGATGACCTTCGACCTCTGGCGAATGCTGACTGTAACTTCATGGTAATCAGCTGAATCACGCCTGGCAAAGTCGTTGGGCCGCTCTATGGAGGGGTGTGGGGGGGGGTTCTTCTGGAACACCTTTCCACAGCGGTGCATTCATTGTGTCTGAGTCTGCAGGCCGATCTGACATCGTACAGAAAATGTCATTCTGATTTTCATTGGACTTTGTATTATAGCATTAACCACACTACGGGTAGAATACAGAACCAGTTTGGACACATTTTCTCATTTAACATAACGTGAAAGTGGGTCCAACTTTTTGTACTGTACACAAAAAACACACAAACCTACACACTATTCACAACGGGGATTTACTGACGTTTTAGTATAAAAGCAGATGTTTGTTAAATAGTCAGAGAGTGTAAAGGAGAATGTATCCTCACAGTAACGACTATTCCGGCTTGGACAATGTCTTTATACTTAAAATTATACTTAAAGCTTGGGTTAGTGAAAGTTTGATGAATTGAACTGCAGGTCTGAATCTTTAACATTACGATGACATCAAATCTGGTTCACCCTTTCATGTAATTTCCCTCCGTCCATTATTATCCGTGTTTGCAGCTGCGCTTCATCAGCTCTTTGGCTTTATTCTCTCTTCACTCCACAGGAAGTGAAAGATCTGCACAGCTCGAATAATCCGCCAACCAGCGCCTCCAAACCTCAGAAATGTACCACATTATATCTTGCAATCTGCAAAAAGAACGTCCGTGTACAAAAGAAGTGACCACTGGATAGAGCGAGGTAATCCTTCTAGTATATATGCTAAAATAAGCTCATCTACAAACATCAGAGTGACGTGTGTCCTCCTTATTATATTAGCACACTTCTCAAGCTTTGCTCGCAGACATCTGTTAACGTTTAACTGGTGACTATTTATTTCCCTGATGATAATCCCATCAAAATGGGAATTATAGGATTATTAATAGCCAATTCATACAGTACTTTAAAAGAGATATTGCTTGAGTTCCCTGGTTGCTCCTCGAGGTTGGTCAAGAATCTTATTAACCGCTCACGTTTCCCCAAATGTGTTTTTAATGGTCTCCTTCTGTTGTTGTTTTGCATGAGATTAGTAAAGTATTTCACACATTGAGGATGTGGCCTCCGGTTGCTTATTGTCTTTTTTGGGAGGGGATTTAATGAAGACGAGCAACTTTCAAACAATTTTCTGCAGCTCCACAAGGTCTCATTGAAACGACTGACCTACATGATTCCAGGTCACCACCTGATCCCAACGCAGCGGCCTCGCCCTCGTCTCGCCATGGTCACCATGGTGACGCCTTCTCATCTCGGGGGGGACAAACGGAGCTCCGTGTCTGTAGATGAAGGTGTGTGTCAGGTCACATAAAACCAAATACATACTTAGAAACAATAGTTTCAGCTACATGTGTGTATTTTTAAAGGCGGGTGGAGTTTGAAACGTAGCGCATGTGCCTTTTTTTACCACAACACGACCATGAGGCCGTGAAGCGATATGAGAGCAAGTTGCCTTCACTCTTTGTCAGTCATCATCTGTAAAACAGCTGTTTTGTAATGTAAGTTCAGATTGTTGAATGCTTTATAATTGTTATGTCTGTTAACCACGTGGGATAAAAAACAGTATTTTTGGTGTGAAGCCTCTGAACGGATCACAAACAAAAACATCACATGCCCCTTTTGTTTAAATGCATTCAACAGAACCTCAGTTATCAGTACCGCCGGGCGACCGGTGGGATTCAGCACATCTGCGCCAACCCAGATGTGAATGGTCAAGAAAGATTCGCAGATTTAAAGTGGAGAGAACGTTGCTTCATGTAATTTAATTGAATTCAGTTTTGCACGACGATACTAATCTTTATTCCGTGTGTGTTTGGCTCACTGCGCCATCTGTCCTGAAGGTGGATCGTGGCCTTCAGTGATTTCTAGGCCTCCTCTTATGTTTACTGCGACACGACAGCAGCAATACCAAGGAGCTTTGTTTCACGCCGCGCGTAGACGTGCACCGTTTGCCCAAAGAGCAAAGAGCAGGGTTCAGTATTTACGGTATTTAAGACTCCGTTTGTCCGGGTTATTCGGCACATAACAAGGTGCCCCTTATGTATCCTTTGGTAAACTACCGCACCGCCACAACAACAGGCAGAAAGACAAGTCGGGCTCCCCTGTAAGCGCCCATGGAGTGGACTCGGTGAATTGGCCGTTTAGAAGCAAATCCGTCTAAATCACTGCGCTATTTGTGTCACTAATGCGCTGCACTGCCGGGCCGGTGAACGGGCCGGGCTCTGTGGCATTTTGTTAGGACAACAGTAGCAACCAGACGGCTCCTCCGGCCGGTTACCCGCGGGTGCAGACGTGCACGGGAGCCCAGAGGAGGGAGAAGCAGCGGGTGGAGACGTCCCGAGCGGTGCAGGCCCCGGCCAGATCGGGAGGTGGTGTCCTTCATTTACTTTACTTGAGTTATTTGAATCCTCTCACTTTCATATCGAACTTAAAAAGATATTCTCTCATCAGGACAGCGTTCGTTCGTTCCTTTGCACCGTCCTGAAATGGCGTTTGACCTTTCGCTGGAGGAGGTCAGCGCTGGTCATGCTCACTTATAAACGTGTCAAAGCCTTCAACTGTGAATAGAAACGTGGTGAATGAAGAACGGTTTGACCTTCCGCTGTGCTTTCTTAATTTAGAGGACAATGCTGCACGACAGCTTGTGCTCTTCTTATAGACGCGATGGATATTTCTGACATTTCTCTAAAAAATGAAAGCCGCTGGTGTTAACAGATGGAGAATGTCAACTAAGTGTTTTCTGAATAATAATGGCTACAGATTTCCGAGAGTCGCAACACAATGAGGTTTACACTTCACCTCTGATGTGTCTCAGCTTCATTTAGCTGCAATCCATCAAGCTGTGCCTTTCTCGTCTTGTCATACTTCTTTTAAAAGCCCCCCCAAAAAAGATTTCAATCAAAAACATTGAAATTTAAGTCCTGACAAGTTTGCTTTTGGTCTATTCGTCATAATCAGTGTTTAATTTTTTTTTATGTAATGTATTTAATTGTCAAATATACCAGACTGAACATGTAAACTTTTCTACAAAAAAGGTGTTCTAACTGAATAGAGATCAACACCCAAAAAGCCTAGAATACTTTAAGATAAACACTACTATTTTAGTAAGATTAGAACAAGCTGTGACCTCAAATAAAAACCACAAAGCATTTCCCATTTTGTCGACAAAGATGTGACAACTATAGAGTTTATTACGGACTGTGGGTTTGAGACTTTTGAACCCCACATTGCCTTTTGTCCCTTTAGCCGCCACGTCACACACCGCTCACCCTCACACTCCCTTTAGCTTCAAGACGTTTCAAAACTAAACGTTTGTAGTTGTGGACATGTGACAGGAAGCAGGAGCCAAAAGTTAAGATTCACATTCTCATCGTCAGTTGTAGTTCTCTCTAAATGAGCCTGAGCAATAATCTGTGTAAACATTTCTACATTCGCACCCAACTATTACACGCAGAAAGTCTGTGGCGACCTTTAGTCGTGACCTTTTCTCCATCCTCATCGAGTCCGTGCACAGGAGAAAACGACTAAACGGGGAGTAACACACCTCGTGCTCGTGTTGCTGTGCGTAGAAAAGTCAGAAACGTGACACCAATTTCTCAACGAAAACCCAGAGTTCTAATTCATCGTCGTCTCCAACCTTCTTCTCTATTACTCAGCATGAAGGAGGCGGCGAGGGAAATACGCGTGACGAGTAGCAGTCTGCATATAGCGAGGCGCCATCAACGCGCAGAGGGAAGGACGGGCCGGCAGCAGAGGTCGTTCTGAGCGAGAGTCTGGATCAGTCGGCACCACTCGGCCCTCTTCTGGGTGACGTAGGCCGGGGTGACGATTTGCACCGGCAGGCGGGGCGAGCCCTCCACCCGGGCCTTCTCGCACAAGGCCTCGGCGATGCAGATCACGTACATGCCGCAGTCGTAGCTGTTCTTCTGCGACGGGCAGGGCTCCTCCACGAACGGCGCTTTCCTCCCGGCGCCCAGGAAGGGCTCCAGGTTGACGGCGACGCGCCGCGCGTGCAGCGAGTTGCCGCCGCTCTGGGAGTCGTAATGCGCAAAGTGGTTGGAGCTGCGGTGGTAGACCAAGAGGCTCCAGTGGGAACCCCCGGCGCTCTGGTCGGAGTTGTCGTTGACGGCGAGGAAGACCCACTGACGAGAGGCGAGATCCAGCGGCTCCAGGAACAGGGCCAACTCGTTGGAGCAGGAGGCGCACTTGATGAACTGGGCGACCTCGGGGCTGACGAAGGTCGCGGCCTCCCCGAGGACTCTGAAGCGCTCGGAGGCAAAGTACTCGAAGGCGAAACCGATGACTTGGTCGTTGAGCCAGTAAGGTCCTTCCAGTAAGGACAGATCGGAGCGCCGCAGCAGGCTGTCCTGGTAGCTCAGCACCACGGGGTCCATCCTCCGCCACGCAGCCTGAGGAGTGCAGAGATGATGGTCATTTCCTGACGGTTAATCAATAATAATCTTGATCAATTTGTTATTTGTACTTTCTATGTGAAGACCAATGTATCCTCTTTACTGTGAGAACTCCTCTTTACTGTGAGAACTCCTCTTTCCTTTATCTTGAATACATTTTAGAGTTTTTGATGATTGTTTGCACACAACAAGCATTTGGGAAAATGCAATGTTTATTTGTGGAATTTATTTATTTAAATCCAGTTTGAGTTTTAAACTGAGAAACATCTGTGAAAGCAGTTTCTAAACTGCGATTCATAAAAACCAAACTGAGTTACTGACCAGAGAAGAAGAGTTCAAGTTGCACCATGAAAAGGTTAAACTGTAAGTTACATAAAATACGCTACTAGCCGGTTTATCTCACAAACTCTTATATTCAGAAACAATGTACAATCGCGGTTGATTTGACTAAACGGACAACAAACAAAATCTAAATCCCAGACAGTTCACCGTTTTACCAGAAGGCAGCTCACCGGTGAGACGGTCTGACGCTAGCGTGAGCTAGTTAGCTAACCGACACTTTCCCGGCCCAAAACCCCGCTACAAAGCTATTAAAGCCGAGGAAACGCGAACAGTATACTGTCAAATCAAAACACGCGCACTTTGTTAGACGTTCATACCTGTGAACGACACACTCAGATAAGAAGTATCACGAGAGTCTCGCCCGTCATTGTTGTGAACGTAAACCGCTGCAGCAGGAGCTTTGACGTTGTTTTGCGACACCTGTCCCCGCGCAGTGCATTAACTAACACGCTATCCGTTTGGTTCGTTACCTCCAGTGACTTGACACGTTATCGGTGCTCACGTTTTGAAGTTATATAACCTGGAGGGCGGCCACGAATGTAGAGCCATTAATTTACATCCCGTCATGGCAATCGAGTACAAACACAAAATGCATGTTTTTCATTTAATTCAAAATCATGTGGTATGAGGAGTGTTACTCGCCATTGAGGTACCTCCTTCTCCCGGCTACTTCCTGTTGTTTCGCTACGGAAGCCGGATGGGATCTTAAGGACCGGATAACTCGGTAAGAAATGGCGGCCCCTTCTTTCATAACAGTATTGCCCATGAGATACCGATAGATATATTGATACTAATACTTTTCATCCTCAGAGGCGAATTTCTGTGTAGCAGCAGGTATAAGGTTAAATAGTAAAAGTATTTATTAATGCACAATAATAACATAATACAATAAAATGACAGAGCAGACCATATTAAATTAAATTCAAGAATAAATAGAAAAAGGTGCACAAAAAGTATATACAGTGGATGTGAGTATACATAGGATATTTAGTCAAATAGGAGTTAAAAATAAGTATGAACAGAGGAGTGGAATAGGTATAAATATAAATATATAGATATTTAAACGCAAAGCTTTTGCGTTTTGGAGCATGCGCACTAGAGTTCTTATTCAATCGAGCCGGTTAAGTCTCAAGAGGAATTTATAAATCCTTTAACAACCACTGCGGTTGTGAATGTGAAAAATACTTATTTTTGGCAAAAGGGGTGAAGGGGGGGGGGGGGGTTATGATAAGCAGGCAAGTTGCAATATCTCGTACGGCCACAACCTTCCATTCTCCACCTCCCTCCACCTCCCTGCTCTCCTCGTGCATCCGCGGTCCCGCCTCTCCACTCCCTCCCCGCCCAGGAGCCGCGTGACCGCGCACTGCCGCGCGTCCCCGCCCCGCAGCAGCGGCACTGATTATCGAGGCGAAGTGGAGTTTTTCGGCGACGAGTCAGCGAGCTGCGGAGGGCCGCTCGAAACCCGAATTACGTTCGCAGCAGCGAACACGCGCGGATAATAACAAAGGGGAAAAACACAGCAGCGCGGACGTGGGTTTTCGAGGAGTCGTTCGGCTGGCGAGCGGCGGCGGAGAGGACGGAAAACAAATTAATTGAATTGGAATGAAGGGAATTAAATAAGGGACGCGGGCTGCGAACTCTGCAAACGCATCCCGACAGCGGGGCGACTCGAGCCCCACTTCCCACTGGCTTCAGCGGACCCGCCTGGAGGTGAGAGTGATGTTGTTCATACGCCGTGGTGTATATGTATGTATGCATGCATGTATGTGCGTGTGTGTGTATGGGGGGGTGGCTGCTCCTCCGGGATTTTTTTTTCGGGTCTGCAAGCAAGAGGGAACGAATCCCTCGCGAGCAGAGCGTTTTTCGATGCATTTAGTTCCGTGTGGCGCGAGAAGTTTGGTCTGCAGCTCGGTGACGTGCGTCACCTCAATCTGCACCTGAATGTGCGACACCCCCCGTTGACACGCTGAACCCTTGTCCATTTGATGGCGTCATAATAGTTCCTGTGCAGGTTGGGGATGTTGATCCTTAAGAGAAATAAAAAACAACAACAACAACAACAACACATCGGATGATACAGCACGTAACCCGCCGGATGATGACAGGGGGACGCGGGTTGTGCGCAGTAAGGTGGAGGGACTGTTTACATGTATTATTCAGGGCTGGTCAGACAGTACAGCTCATAATGCAGTGGAGGCAATAAAAGACTGCAAAGCGGCTGCACTCGAGTGCAGGGAGGTCTGACTGGGTGAGCGAGCTGCTGAATCATGGGCCCACGTCTCAGTGACACACACACAGACGACAAAGCGCACAACAGCAGCTACCATTCTGCGGGAGGTGCCTTAATCTACCCTTGTGTTTGTCACTTTAACGTTGCTTCTGCAGGATCTGTGCTGCTGGTCCTTGTTGTACTTGCTGAGGATCTTTCAGGGCATGTTATTCCTTTTCTCTACTGAGAGTTGTCAATGGAGGGATGACAGAAAAAAAGGGGAGTTTAGTGTAGTAATGGTCCTCGGCTTTCAGTAACCGTTCATCACCACCAGCACGGTGCTCCAGGTCATCTTTCATCACTGTGTGTGAGCATAGTTCCCCTACTTGGATCAGGGCTGCAGTGATAATCCGACCCAAACGTCGCCATATCACAGTTATTTTCCTTACTTCCTCTTCCCCTTTTCGTTAGTAAAACCATTTCGTAGTTGCTGTTTCAAATCCCCCCCCCCCCCCCCCTTCCAGAACTCGGCCTGCCCTCATACTGGCACAGGTGATGAGCTTGAAATGGCCTCTGTCCTGCAGGAATGTGAGCTCTGAAAAAACACAGCTGCCCCCAGCACGGGAGGCGGCCCGGGCCGAAACTCCGGCAACTGGTCCCCGTCGACACCCGACACCCCGCGGGCCCCCTTCTGTCTGCCATTTCCAAAAGACGGGGCCTCGGTTTGTTTCACGGAGGGGGGGGGGGGGGGGTGGGGGTCGTCCGTTGCTGCTATCAGAACGCACTTTTAAATAACAAGACACCGGCCCGCACCGCCTCGGGCGGCACGCTGAGCTGTACCGTCTTGCCGGTTAGACCTGAGGTGTGGCCCCCCCCCTCCCCCCCCCCCCCCGGTTCAGGACGAGTCCTGCCCTGTGAGGTCACCTCTGGCTCGTACGGATTCACTCATTGAAACAACGTTCTGTTAATCAGTCGCCAGCAAAGACGGGCGCCGCAATGCAAATATCGGTTGAATGTTTACGTGCGCGCAGGCTGCCGTGGATTGTTTGAGCTGAACGTCCGGCGATGATCTCCGCGCAGGCGGGAGACGCCTCCTCTGGGGCCTCGGTGTGTCATAAATAAATAAAAAAAAAAACCCGCAGCACATTTGACACCAGCCGATGCGTCACGAGCAGAACCGTCACTCCGCAGTCGCGAGCCGTCACAAGATCTTCATCAGTGGTGCAACAACTGTACAACTTCACATATAACCTCGCATTCCTTCGCCGGTGAGATACGTCCGCGGGTTCTCCAGAATGCTTCCGCAGATATTGTGCGGTTATCAAAAATAGAATGAGGTTAAGAGCGTTATCTGCTGAGGTGACTACAGCGGCACATTCCTATTCCCAATAATAAGAATATCAGCTTTCAAGGGTGGATGGATTCGGTGGTCGGGCAGTGTTTCCCCGAAGCCCAAGGTGACGTCCTTGAACGTCTGTGTTTAGCCCAGAACTCAAAAGATATTCAGTTTACTGTCACGCAGGAGGAAACAAAACCAGAAGTGAAATTCAGAAGACGATTGTTGAATAGCTTATCAAAATAGTCTGTGGCTAATATACGAGTTGATACTTAATGGAACATTGGCTGGCTTAACGTTATTTAAAAAAAAAAACTGTTTCAGAGACCACTGCGGATAGATGTCTAATGGAACCGGCTGGTAAAGTGAAGTATTTACTTTCTGTGTATCTCTGTGCCACGAAAGCAGATTAACACGTTGCCTCATTTCCTGCCCAAAGTTCTCCACGCGGCGACCCTGTCTGTCTGTAAACAGGCCGAGGTGTGATACGTCACCCCGCTGTCACCGTCGCAGCCTCTGTGCAGTTGCAGCTTCGGGAAGAAGTTCACGTCCCCGCGTCCATCCAGACGCGTCTCCTTTGTCCCCTTTGGGTGATCGATGCACGAAGCCTCTCTGTCCTTGCAGCAGCTTCTTGAAGTTTCCGACGTGCTCTGAAAATAGCAATGACCCTCGTCGCCGCGTGACCGGGACGCCCTGAGCGGTGGACGCATGGTGGGATTGTGTTTGCGGCAAGTGATCGGCCTGCACGCGGAGTCGTTACAGAGGAACCCGCTTGTGTTGCGCTGAACAAAGCGGCCCTTTCTTCAGCGGGGCCGTTATACGAGGGAGGCTTTGGGCCTCAAAGGCTCCGCTCACCCCGCATTTCCCCTCATTAACTCGCCGGTGCTGCTGACTGTAGCCGCTACTGGGGTCCGGAGAAGAAGGTGCATTGTGTTGTTCTTTGTGATTGTGTTTATGTGAAAGGAGCTTAACTCAGGTTTTTTTTTTTTCTTTTCTTTTTTTTCCATGAATCGCTTTAAAATGGAAACTGAGTCAACAAACGGTTCGAGATCTGTTGAGACGCTCAGTTTGGGTTCCTCTTAATTAAATTCCGTCCCCGGACGTTTGCTTTGGACGGAGACGCACGCGCTCACAGACCCTTTTGGTTGAATGTCGTGCAAAGACGGCAGTTTGCCGAGCTTTAACGGCTTTAGTTTTACTAATAGTCTTTTTTTATTAGTCACTTTTCCATTTGATTTAAGTTAGATGTGGATAGAGATGCTCACTCGCATGGGACATCAGGGGAAATGGCCGAAAGCCTCCAGGTGCGAGCGGCCACATTACGGCGGGCTTTGGGCTTCGCAGCACTGACTGCAAACCAAAGTTGTGAGTTTGTGTGTGTGTGTGTGTGTGTGTGTGTGTGTGTGTGTGTGTGTCGTGACACAGCTGTGACAATAGCTGGTGGCCCCCTGCAGCCTGGCGGTGCACGGTTAATCCTCAGGCATGTGCTGCCGTGTAGTAACGGCCCATGCGGCGTGCTGTGCACCGGGCAGAGCCCCTCCAGCTGTCAGTCAACATCAGGAGAGTGAAACCGCCAGTGTTGCGTTTGCTAAATGCGCCGTCATGAGAGGAAAGCGCTTGTGTCTGTGATACAGGGTTACACTTTGAGTTGATGTTGCGTTCAAACCCACAATTAACAAACAAAAAACCCCCAAAAAAAACAAGACAAACATCCCGACGAGAGCTTACCAGCTGTGTTTGGCAGGCGATGATGTTCAGAGTTGTCCTGAGGAGTTTTATGAATGGAAAACACCTATTACTATTATCAGCATCAGCCTGTACAGAGCCCAGAATGACCAGATATTCTAGGCCCTAACGTTGTGTAAGTCTTTCCTTCCATAACTATACGGACATGAAGACATCCGTGCACGGGTCGAATACCAATGAAGGGATTCACGTTTGGAGGAACCGGGTTTCGGGCACAGTCGGTAGGAAACTTTGTGATGACGATGCATGAGATTTTCCAGAGAATATCGTTTCCATTTGACAGGCCGGGACGCGGACGTGATGGGAAGCAACCTGGAGTCACCGTGAACCGCGCGCCTCCGCTGAGGTGAACAAACTGCAGGTCCGAAGAGGCGGAGGAGTGCGAGCCGAAAGGGAACGGGATGTGCCGTTTCACACGCGGCGGGCTCCGTTTCTCCCGGGTCGCGCCGAAAAACCGTCCCAAACCGCCGGGCGGGGACGGTTCTTTCCTCCAGCCGGGCCGCGGCGGCAGTCGGGCCTCGGAGCCGCTCTTATCTGCCAGGAATTCTGTCAGTTTACGCTTGGAGTCGTCTGCGCTCCGTCAGGACGGGGCGAGAGGGGAGGAAGAGCGGAGACGGGTTGTGGCTAACGGACGAACAAGCGGGCCGCGATAAGCTGGATTTTCAAACGCGGCGCTCAGCGGGAGCCGGGACGCTCTAATCTACGCCACGGCTGTCGGAGCAGTAAACCGGCGGAGGACACGGGACACTCTGAGGTTATTTAAGTCTCGCCGCGAGCTGTGGGAGGCCGCCGCCGCCGCCGCCGCTGTAAAGTGTGTCGGCCCATATGGAGAGAGAGGGAGAGAGGGAGGGGGAGGTGGGGTGACGTCAGCCGGGCGTGCAGCTGTTCCCTCGCTCTCAGTCGCCGGCTCGCCGCTTTTTATATTCGCTTCAGAGGTTAAATAAATCCAACGTCCAGCTCACGTGCCAAGTGGAGCACGTCTGATAAGGTTTGTTATGGCGCGGAGTGACTCGTGTCGGACTTCACTGGTGAAGGTTTTTCTAACATTCCTTTTTTTGTTTATTTTAGTTTTCAGAACATCTTGTGGGCACTTTATTTACTTGTAATACAGGAAGTTTCTGTTCTTCTATCCGGGAGAAGGTCATGGTCATCTAAAAAAATGCTATAATTTCATGACATTAAGGGATTTATTGCAAGGAAGATAACGATTATCTTCTAATTCACCCGTGGACTTTGTTGCACCACTTTAAATGGATGGAAAAACACTTTTGAACTTTAAAAAGTGTCTAAATAACCAAGACGAATGCAGCTGAATGAAGAGCGTTCTGTTTACGTGCTAAGAGGTTAGCAGAGGCTCGTTTAATGGGATGGTTGTTTAATCATTACATCTGGTCAGCACACCAATGGCGACTGCCTCCT